GGCCCTCATTTTTCTCATCCCTTTCTAGCCGATCTACTGCCCCCCACGCAAGGCCAGCTACACCGTTCGTTCCCTTCGTTCCCTCCCGTTCCACCAGGTATTCCTCGCGGAGCTGTACTTTTATCCTTTCAGTGTTCCCTGGGACGAAAACCCGCGGAAAACTGCCCCCCTGGCGCGTTCAGTTCATCACGAAAGGACGCTGCGTAGCGGCACTATGCATCTCAGCTCCGATTCACCACCTGCGGCACACTTCGACACGTGCCGATTCATTCGCGCCGTTGAACGCGAGAGTACGCGCGACTAACCGAGTTACCGTCGAGTCCGAGGACCGCGCGCGTCCGCCGGTTCACCGAACCGAGTTACACCGGAAGCGATACCAGCCGCCGACGGATCGGCGACGAGTCTCCGGTGCTCGGTTTCTCGCGATTTACATGGAAACGCTCCCGCATCCGACGGTACCGCGTTCAAACGAGAAAAGTACACTGCGGCTGCTGCTCACAAGTTACTTCGCGGATGAACCGGTCAGCCCGGCTACCTTCGAAATCGAAGGGATATCGATGGTGCAGGAAGGCGTCACAATATTACACCTCCGTCGCAAAGTTGAAGTCTCAAACCGCGGTTAAATTACAGACGCAGCAGACGGAGTGCAGCCGCGGTATACTTTCGCTGCAGCATGCTGGAATTCCGTGGGACCGTGCTAAACGCGAGAATACTCTTCGCAATTGCGATGCGTCGCGTACACGCGTATATCTGTATTTCCCGACGGACGCGACCATAGTGTAACAGGAATCCCGAGGTACACGCGTCACGGAAAGCCACGCGCCCAACCCGGTACCCGATCGAATATATTATACAACGTATTCGCCAGTCCGAGAACCAGCGTTTAGTTCCCCGAACACTAACGACGCTCCGCATCTCCGCGGCCGCTCTACTTTCCCGTGGAGCAACGTGCTCGGTAAAACACGTTTGCCTTTGTCCCGTTCGCTTTCAGAGCATTCCGTCAATTTCGCGCGTTTGCACTCGACGAAAAGTTAGCGAGAAGTTAGTTCGCTCGATAGTTGACGGAACGCGTGACGGATGACCGACGGCGACGGGCAACGGCGGCGCGGACCGCGACTCGGACTCGATGGGAAAACGCGTCGCTTAGGAAATGGTGCGTCTCCGCGGAACAATGGGATATTTACGAGAATCGTTTCGGCGCTAGGTCGCATAGTAACCCCAACGGAAGCCACGCTTCCCTCTCGTTTGCGCTTGTCTTTCTCACGTTCGCGGTAACATCGTGTATACGCGGTGCGGCTCTATTCGGTACGGTTCGTTCGATTCTGTTCGACGGCCCAACGCTACCAAACGTCTCAAAACCGCAGCGACGAGAACGCGATACGCTCGATGCCCAAGACGAACGTGTACTGGTCGACGTGAAGCGTCTACGTCGTGAGCGGCGTGAAACGGCGTAAAGCGCCCCGACGCCTCGCGTCGGCGCCCTGACGCGGCCCCTATCTCCGCCAACCAACCCCGAGTGCTGTTCGCTTTCTTTCCCCATGGACCATTCTCTTTATCCGCGATTATCTGTCCATCTCGCGGCCCGGGTATCATTGTTTCCCGGCTTTTGATGTTTTCAATTCGTCCTGAATGGCGGACTTCGTTTTCTAACCTAATACGGCACTTCAAACGTGGTATAGGTGCCGATCAGTTTGAACCACTTCGGGCAAGGGGCCGTTAAAAATCTCGCGAATGGAACTGGCGAAGTTATCGGTTCGTTCTCTTAATGATCTGAAAACTAAGGGATATGAACTGTACGATCCAACTTTGAGAAATGGATTTGGAAGGATTTTGTTGTCGGAGGTCTAATTACTGCTAAACGTAACAAATGCATCCAATGTGATACTTGCCTATATTGTCGATCTTTATCTTGGCCTTCGGGGAGCAATTATTTGTTCGTTCTTGGTAAGTGCGAAATTAATTTGTGGTTTTAGACTGCTTCAATGGTGAAGGATTGTTAACGTTCCTTCGTTCTGTTCGTAATGAAGCGGATATTGATTGGGTTCAATGTTTCATTATCTGTCGTTCGATGGAATTTTTTTTGATAAAATTCAAGTTGCAAAATGGAAATAGGCGTATTTACGTACTCTGAATAATTCCTTTGGAAGAAAATAATCTTGAAATTCCACTGTTTCGAACATCTCGCTCCTCTCGCGCGATAACTTTTAGCGGGAAACGTTGAACAGTGTTGCCAACGCCACTTACTTTGAAGTCCGTTATGTCCCCCACTCTCTGTTATTCAAAATTGATTGACCAATCAGTGATAGTGGACTGTGCTGCTCTCTATGAATTCTGTGGACATTTCAATTTAAATAGTGTTCACACAGGTTATTCGTGTGTGCTTTCGGATGGAGGTTATGTACCGCTATAAACAATATATTTCAACGACAAGTAGCAACATTGATTGATATGTGATGCAGGGATGCTGTAGTTATTAATATTTAAGATATTTCAGTTGTCGCGTGGGAGCTTGTAATATATTTCTTATGAATCGCACAGTGCGATACGTTAAAAATGAATGAACACGCCGTGGAAAGTCTGCCGTGAGTAAACATTTGCTTGATTACTTTTTTAATGACACGCGACACAATTCTTTGATTTTGTTTGTAATAGTTACCCTTCGTTTACGACAGCTGACGTTCGATTGTAATTATTGTTTTCACAGGTATTGCAAAGAATTATGGCTTTTAATATCCGATACAGTGTGTCGTTGCGAGAAACAACTGGTTGACGATGAAATTAAAAAGGAAACGAAACTGCTTAAAGAGGGACTTCTATTCTTTAAGCCATTTACGGAAGCCTCCCTCTCAAACATCCCAAAAAATGATCCTTCTCCTAGAATGTACGAACTAATCAGCAAACTTGCTCCTCTTTTAGTAGGTATTCTTAATAGGACTTTCTCTTATTTCAATCATTCTGTGTCTCATTTTCTTATTTACTTCTTTAGAACTTGGATGCTACACTTACCTGGGATTTAGTTTGTAATTTTATTAAGTACGAATATCGCAATTGCACTGAAACTTTTGCATCTCAACTGATAGACTTCACCTCGATGAAGGCATTGATCGATGATATTTGGAATTTTTATTATTCTGAAAGAATGACTTTAATAAAGTGCCTTAAACTTATGGTTGAATATAAAGAGAAGGAGCATCGCTACCAAAAGGAGTTTGCGAAATTTTTTGATAATATTTTATTCGGTACCCTCTTGGAATCGATCAGAAAACAAATAGAAATGCTAAAGACTGTAAACCCACCTATTCGATCGCAGCTGTGTACAGAGGAGTATTTACATAGGCTCTATAATAGTAGTTTAGTTGAAATGCGAGAATTACTTCACATATTAACGGTTATTATCCACGACATACATATCGCCGACACTGAGTTTTTGAAGCTGTACGAAAGTATAGTGGTAAGTATATTATAAAAAGCAGATTCACAGACAATGATTTATGTTTAATTCATGTATCAATGATTCTGTAGGGAGAACCTAGGCGCTTAGCAAGTACAAAGAGTCACGAAGACAAAAAGGCAATTGCCAGAAAAATTAAGGAAATTCATCATAGTCAAGCAGCATTGATCTTAGTAGCGTTAGATGTGAGAAAACAGTAAGTTATTCGTACAACCTTATCAACGTCTGACATGACGACTTTAAGAATAAAGCTATATCTTATTTGCAGTACCGACATGGAAGACTGGGTTAGGAGCGTGAGAAATAGTATGCAAGAAATTTTCGAACAAAAATGTGTACGCGATAATTGCCCGCAAGACAGTCCACTATTTTTGTCGTGGATGTTGGCGAACTATGCAATCGATCCCGATAATATAGACACGTTAACACGATTCCGACGGTTTGGTATCAAAGCGATACAACTCGACGTTTTCCATTATTTGCAAGAACTGATGAACTGCGAGATGATTTGCGAGAAAACTCATTATGCCGAAGTCGTGCATAGTAGCGTCTACAATCTCTTGAGCTTGATATGCGTTTTTGTCGATGAGGATAAAGTTAGCGCGTTGAATGGTATTTTCGATGCAGTGGCCGCTGCGGTACAGTTCCCGGAAACTGCAGCTCGATTTTGGCGAGAACGCGAGGACGGTTTGTGGCCAATTTACAAGTTCGCCGCGGAACAATTCCCATACGAGTTCGAGCCCTTAACCAATATCGCGATTGGACTGGCGAGTGCCTCTGAATCAAGTGCCGAACGAATTGCAGTAGAATTGGAAAATTTGCAATCATTAACGCTAGAACTGCCGCGTCAACGGGAACACGGCAGGCCATTGAAACCTTACCAACAAGAGTGCGTAGTTCACAAAAACTCGTATACGATATCCGAAGATACTCCTCGAGAAAATGTACGCATACTGTCGAGTGACCGCGAGGTAGTGATATTCCGGCAAAAAGCGAGCTACTGGGACGCTTTGCATCATAAGATGGAACAGCTTTTCTCTCAAGCGGGCGGCAGAATGACAAATACCAATGAAATGACCACTAATTTACCGGAGAACGTTTCACAGGGTTTAAAGCTGCTGCGAAAGCTGGCCAAGTACATAGGGATACGACAAAGCATGGTTATTCCAACGGAATTAAGCTTCGAAATCATCAATCGATTCTCCTATCCAGTATTACCCGAGGACAAGATGTACATATACAAAATAGTTGCAGCCTGTATCGGTATCTCTTCCGAGCTAATCCTCGAGTATCCCGAAGAAGTACTCGCGAGAATGCGTGCGGGTGTTTACCCCAGGTTCAATAACCGTTACCAAAAGGCGCTGGACTTCGCGGAAGCGGTTTCTTTCGACGGTGGTATAATCGCATCCTGGTTATCGGCCATAGAAACGATCGCGCATTCTTATCCAATTTTGAACGCGTACCTGGACATCTTGTCCAAATACTTGATTCGAAAATACAACGAGGAAGCTTTGTACACGGTCGAAATACCTGGTATGGTGTTTCTACTGCAAGGCGTGTTGCCAAAGTTGGATTCCTGGTACTTCGACTCGGACGCTGAGAGGACCGACCTATGGTTGAAAAGTATGTTCTGTCTTCACAGAGCGCTGGAATCCAGCCTGTCGAAAGACGACATACGCAACGAGTTACAACTCGTCGTTGCGTACAGTTTACTTTATTTAGAGCCGAGGCACGCGTTACTCAAATTAATCCGTACAGGCGAACGTACCCTGCACAACAAGATGATGGCGGAAACGGATTGGATTCGCGGGAAGGGACTCAAGGCGATCAAGAGCGTACAGTTGGCTTTGTCGGTGGTAAACAGGCTGTTGATATTCAGAAAGTCGCTGGGTCTTCAGACGGGAGACAGATCACCGTTGGAAGTTGCCCTGTATTCCTCGCCGCGTGTGCCTAACGGTCTTTTAATAGTACCGACTATCGTGAATTATCTGTACGTTTGGTTCAGCCCTCCCTTGCAGGCGATGGCAGTCAGACTGCTGAAAAAGTTCGCCGAAGGATCGTCGATGTCTCTGCTTGTTTGCATGGGCATGGACGGCACGGCTATACGAGAAACGTTCGCGTCTCGCAGAGGACTGATGTCGCCGACTTGCGTCGCGGACATCAAAGTGGCCATCCTCGAACTGGTCGCGGTCTGCTTGGAAAAACAACCCGGACTAACGGAAGCCCTCTTCAACATCGTCCATCCAGCGGAGTGCAACCGAATCTTCCCCCGGTCGGTCGAGGAGTTCTTCACGGAAGGTTGCAGACAGTTCTTGGACAAATACCTGAGTCGAATTTACGAGAAGGAAGACATCGTTTGCGACAAACTGTACAACAGCACGATGGCACTGCTGCGAGCGATGTGGTACCACAGGAACGAGATTCTCGTCAATTTCTTTCGGAAACGAGAGAAATTTTGGACTCATCTGCTCGCCCCGCTTTTCAGAGACTTAGTGCCTGCTACGAAAGGCTACTCTCACCTGTTGGACATAATCACCTTGGAGCTGTTCAAGAACTCTCTGCTCGAGGACGACTTCTCGACGAATTTGAGGAAACTCCTGGACAAATCGAACGATCATTGGAAGAAGCTGGCGATATACATACTGGAGGATGCGTCGTCGGACAGCGAGGCGTCTAATTACGAGAAGCACGACAACAGTATCACCGGTTATTCGCTGTACGAGACTAATTTAGAGTCTTGGTACAACTTCATCGTGACGTTGACAGATGAAAGGATCGCGAGCAACTATCCTGTGAACGTGATCCAAACGCAGTTGATAACCCAGCGTTCCCTGGAGTCGCTCCTGGAACGAGTGAAACAATCCCAGGACCCCGCCAATCGGAAGGTCACGATGCTGTTAGCTTCTCTGTCGCTTCGATGCATCACCTCGTGGAAACAGATGTGCGTCGACGACTCGAAAATCTTTAAGTCGGGATTGACGCAGTTGATGCAAGAGATCGGGCAGGCGTACCGCTGTTACGGGAAATCGTTGCGTCAGACGCTGATGTCTCTGCTCCTCGGGTGCGTGCAGTGCGTGAAGAGCACGTTGCGCGAGGACGCGACCAGTCTGGAGTATCTTCTAGCGCATTCCTGCACGATCGCCGCGAGCGAGCTGGAGGAGTTAAAGGAAGCTGCGATCCAATTCGAGAAACGGAAGCAGCAACAGCCGATCGTACGGGTCGTGGACGAGAAAGGAACAATCGACAGCGTGACCGCTCAGAAGAACGCCGACGAGAGAAATGCGGAGACTCTACGGGGGATTCGGGAGAGTTTGCCGGCTACGTTGGCCGTGTGCATGGTCACGCAGCTGTTGCGCTCGTACGTGGAGCGGAGTTCGCTGTCGAAGCGGCAAAGGAAGTCCGGTTGCGTGCAGCTTCGGCAAATGATACCCGAGCTGACGGCGTGCATCGGCATCACTATGCAGAAGTATCCGTATCTGAGATTCAGCGGCGCCGCGCTGAACCTGCTCAACCTGATCGTTCGTTCGCCGTACGCTTTGCACCCGATCAGCGACAACGACATCGCAAAGTTATGGTTGAGCTTGATACCACCGGCGGAGATCGGCAACAGCATGCTGGATTCGCTGTACGAGGACCGGCCGAACGGAGACTGGCGATGCCAGGACTGGTGGCCTCTTTACACCCTCGGCCTCGAGTTCGTGACCGGACTCGTCACCAGAGAAACGCCCACCCTCTACATCAAATCGATCCTAATGTTCCTGAACTCGCACGAGTACCAGCTGATGGTCGCCTCGACGCTGTTGAGGCATACCGCGGATCTTCTCGCCGCCGACCTGGTGCAATCTCTCGTGGCCATGATTCACACCATGGCGACGCAGACGTACATTTGGAACTCGGTCCAACCGAACGTCTGCGAGACCTTGATCAAATGCATGTACCTAGCATACGACAACACGGTGAACCTGTTGCTACGGCCGCGAATCCTCAAGTTCATCATCGACGGTATAAGCATGGAGAGCGCCGAGGAATTGGAGTCGTGCGACAAGAGATCGCCGAGCGGCGAACTGAAGCTTCTTGTGAACAAGCTGATCGTGATAAACACCACCTGCGCGCTCAGCTTCGTACATTTCTCGCCGAGGCTGAACACCCTCGTGGACACCATATACACGCAAGACTTTTGGTACACTCCGATGGCAGAAATGAACTTTGGCCCACCGCAGATGAGTATGTGCTCGGGCCCGCGACTGACCTACGGAACGATCATCAGCTCGACTCAGCTGTTCACCCAGGCGCTTCACTCGCGGTCTCAAACCGTCAGCAGCTCGTCCGTCACTTTCGCCGGGCAATTGGACAAGATGGATTCCGCGAAGCGAGAATGGGAACACGCGACGCCGGAGGACCGTCGGATGCACTCCAGCAAAGATCTGAGAAGGATCATCCACGCAGCTTCTTCCGGTTCGGCCTCGAGATCCTCCTCTGCGGCCGGTGGAGACTTCCTGGTGTACGTGAGCGGTCTCGACGTGACCGTACCCTTGCTGAGCAGTCCGAGGCTCGTCAGAAGACCCTACGATCCTCTGATTTGCGAGAACACCATTCTTTCTAGAGCCACCGCTCTGACGAGTGGCAGGCACGTAGCGAAAGGTGGTGGCGGCGGTGGCGGCGGCAGTGGTAGTGGCGGTAGTGCCGGCGGAGGTGGTAGCAGCGGCAGCGACACCAAAAGATTCGCAGCGGCGAAATACCATAAATTCAGCGATCCTTGGTTCGAATCCATGGACGAGAACAACACGAGATTGGCGCTGGAAGTTAATCTTGTGTTGATACTGTGCCAAGCTTTGGAAGGTGTTCGAAGTCCACGGATCGCCCTTCGAGACCGTCAGCTGATTGCGCGTGAAACGGTCACGGAATTGGGAGTGTTCTTCGATTTCCTTGAACACCGAGGCACACCCGACAACTGGCCCGTCGAAGGATCATTGATTCACGCCGATGCCAAGGGCGCAAGGGCGATCAACCTGGCGATCGATCCGTTCCAAACAATCCTACCCGCGAGATTAAAGGAAACTGAGGGGCGGAGGATCGAAGAAAATATTTTCACTACCGGAACGTTTACTACCAATATCAGTAGCGTACAGTTTTTACCCTTGATGGGGAAACTGTTGAAAGCCGTCGTGGAGTCGTTAGATTTAACACAGTATCGATGATAACGATAGACGTAAATTTGTGAGAACGTTAGGAGAGCATACGAGAAGTCACATTGCTTAAATGGTAAAGAAAACGCAACAAAGAACAGGAAAATATCCATTGGCAGTGTATGTAAGTACGTACAAAAGAAATAACAATTTAATTATTCCGTGTATGTTGATGTTCACAATAAAGTAACAATTTTTATTATAGTCTTCCGTCTTCGATATCGTATAAATGATAAAGAAACTAGAGTAAAAAAAAATGATTAATCGGGGATACCGCGAACGCACATTGACACGTTCCGCCTTTGAAACGTGTCCGAGGACATACGACGGGCAACTTTGGTCCATCTTCAATGTTGCATTCAGTGTATCCTCGATAAAAATAAAAGACAAGCAAGTATCTAGCGAATTTCATTTAATGTAACCACGTTCAACGATTACCACTGTGTTCTTGCGTCGTCAAATTTCTGTAATCGTGTAACGAAACTGGACCTTTTTGTACACTTAGTATCAGCGATCAAACACGTGCTAGGACAACATTACGATTATCGTTTATAAGTTTGCGCCCGGCGCTACATTTCTGTGATCGTAATTCATTGTGCACCACTTTGATAACACTTAAATATTTATAGATCTGAAAACGCGAATCGATTCGAATAATATAAACTAATTTTTTTAAGTTGGTTAAACTTTATCTACGGATAACGAGATAGGAGTAGTTGTCGTTGGGAACTAGAAAGCAGAAAATGGAAAAAACTATGGTAATCCGCCATTGTGGCCACGTGCCATTTTAACTGCTCCTTTTCCGTTTCGATTCGTTAATTAACGTATCTTTAATACCTTTAGTCCTCGAGTCGCGAAATAACATATCTCTTTCGTCATCGCGATCGATAGTCATACTACGATACAGTATAAAAATATAATTCGTGATATTAACGAATATTATATATTACGGTAATAGCAGTGTCGCGAGCGGCGAGTTGAACGCGTCGCGTAAACATGATGTTTGACGCCATCCAGGCTCAGAACCCGAAGGTCGTGTTCGACGCTAAGGGGGTAAATGAGGTAAAATGTTCTCCGGTGAAGGTGTGTCGTGGGATTCGTTACTTCTCGACGTCACTCGTGCATGATAAAAATTATTCGAAGTGACGGAAGTGACGACGGAACTGGTCGTAACTGTACTCGTCACTGCTGTTGCCGTAACCATCGGAACGGTACTGGCTGTTGTTGTATTAATGGTGATCGTCGTCACGATGGAAGAGGTGCAGTGACTTCGAGAGGATAACGTCGACCAGGTGTGCGGGTTGGAACAACTGGTGTCCGATGATGGACACTCCGATAGACGAGTCGACACGGTGCAACACATAGGCGTTGATATCGTAGGTATAATTGAACTCGAGGTTGAAACAGCGACACCTGCAGTTGTTGTCGGTGGTGGTGGAGGAGGTGGTGGCGGAGGCGGTGGCGGTGGCGGTGGGGCTGGCGTTGGTCCATTCAAATCGGCCAATGGATCAACTGCTGTACTGTCCCATGGTTCAGCAGATTTTGATTCGTCGTTGCTCACAGCACTGGCAGTCGATCGTTGTCGCTTCGCGTCACCGTATAATAAGCAATGAACATTCGGTGAACTGCTGCGATCTCGTACGCCCTCCTGTTCCTCCAGGAATCGATCCATATAGTCCCTGCTTACAATTCAACGATCTTGTCATACTTCAAGTTTTCGTTTACAACCGAATCAAAAATTATAATGGTGCAGAGAAAATACTCACGTGATGCCAGGATGTAAAGCGTACTTTTTCTTTTCTAAACGAGCCTTGTATGTAAATATATCGTGGCGTTCCGTCTTTTTCCACAAATAATAAAATTGCACTAATTCTCCGACAGAACGTGTTCTTACCTGTAACAATAACAGTAACAGTTGTAATATTATTACCCGATATTTATTCTTATTTTGAAATATAATTTAAGGTATCATGCGCAGTGCATACCTTATTCTTTTGTATCAGATGAAAATCTTTTCCATAACTTCGTAATCCAGATTCGAAATTATGACATTCCTCTTCTGACCAAAGACTAACTGCATCCGTTGGTGGAACAACGTTCATTCTACGTCTTCTTAACGCTTCTTCGAGATTGTAACCGCACTGTAGTAATAAATATAATGCTTGCTCGTCGTCTCTGATGTGAGATCCGGTGGGCAAAGAACCACCCTTTACAGCCGGTAATTGGGCCCTTTCTAAAAATTCTTCGGTTTCTTCTTCTGGTATATGACTGGGATCCCATAACATTTTGTCTTCATTCTCGTAAGGTAAAGCATCGTCGTAACGACACAGACCTTCTGGTATAGCTGCTTGGTAATCACTACCAACCATGATTGTCTTCTTCCATTCTTCTTCATCCGGACTGTAATCGCAATCGTCCTCTTCTTCTTCGCTCTGCGGTCGTGAAACACTTCGCAGTAATCTTGAAGTACCACTTCCTATACCACTGCTGACTATTCCATCTTCTCCCCCGTCTACTGTACCACTGGTACCGGTACCCTCTATTCCAGCAACAACGTTCTCGTCCGTGGTACCGAGTCCACTTATACCACTGCATTTAGCGGCACCACTACCTCCCAGTGCAGCGGAAGTCCTTACGTTTTCATTATTACTACAATTATCGGTCATAGAACATTCTTCGGCTTCGCCATCTTCGTCGTCGTCGTCGTCATCGTGAATTCTGTGTCGCCTACTATTATCCACAGTAGTCGCACCACTAGCGTTGTTTCCTTTCATTGTCGATCCTGACACCAACGACGTTGAATCCTTCCCTTTTACCAACATTTCGGTATAAAATTGCTTGAGATCTGGCTCGTTACTGGTCGCGTCTGCTTCATCGTCGTCATCGTCGTCATCAGCATCATTGTCACCCTTATCCGAATACTGTCCTTCAACCTCTGGATCCCCACTTCCAGATGGAATTAACATTTGATCAGAACTGTTTGAATTTTCTGTCGATGGATCCCCGTATCCATACATTGCAAGCAGATCTTTTAGTGGCATATCACCTTCCTGAAAGAAGACAAGAACACAAATGATCATCATGCCGGATATAACAAACAGACTAGACATACGAATCTCACTACGAGAACGCACTTTGAGTCCAAAGTGTTGTAGAAACTTATCATAATTGTAATTATTTATGGGCTTGATTTTTTCATTTCACAGGCTTGATCCTAGAATAGTTGGGATCAGAATCTTGTTACAAAGTGAACATTGTATATGTTAAATATTTAGCTCAAACACCCCAGAATTATACCTTTTGCAAGTTGGACAACTCGTTGTGAGAATCTTCACTACCTTCTAAAGCTTCTTCTTCGTCTAAAGTCCGTTCATCATCAAAATCATTTACCATCATTCCTGTACCTGGGCCCATATCATAATCTTGATCCGCCCTATAAGGTATCTAATATTAATAATGTATTTGGGCTTTTTAACAATCGTAATCTGTAATTCGTTCATACTGATCCAATGTATACTAACATGTTTATGTGTATTGCAGTAACCAAAGTTGCAACATATCATGCTGATACTAGCATTGCATATTTAGTATATGCACAGAGGGATGTGCACCATTAGTACGCTGAACAAGGATGTCCTTATATTACCTGCATTGTACATTTTGTTTGTTTTAGTTGATTCAATTAAGCATTTTTACCATTTAATCACAATACTTTATTGAAAAGATATAATATGCAAATTATGACGCGTATCTAACCTTAAATTCTTATGACATTAGTCTTGAGTTTACAATTGCAATAACAACTCATACTTCAACAGCCAGTATGATAGAAACTGGGTTTCTTTTTAAGTCCTTTATTACTGGCACTGCATATTGTACATGAGTTTCACTTCACCTCACTAAAAATATTTTATTGCAGTATCGTATGTACATCTTCACAAAGAAGGGTAAATTTTTCAATGTAAAAGTTTCATGACATATCCAACATTTTTCCAAGGCACAATTTTAACTACCGAGAAAATTGTTTCAACTGCATCAACGACGATAGCAGGAAATTATTATCAGTTTTAAAGAAATGCATTAAAACACGCACAATCTATTATTTATATTCATCGAATGCATCATTATGCTTCCACAGCATTCTAAAAAGCGGGAAATTCATAGAATTCGTTGCAACCACCAATCATAAATACTTAGAGATGTGCGGAAAACACCTTACCATTGGTTAAGGACTACGTTGCGCTAAATAAATCCCTTTTCGTGAATCATTATGAATTCACCCTTAGGTACACCAACCATAGAAACATTTGTTCATCGATAGGGTGAGCTTTCTCTTGTATCATGATATTCAATGACATATATTTTGCTTTAAGCTTCAACCGACAATGTTATTGTATAGTTTATTAAATTCCCTTAAATTAATGTTATGTAATAACAGTTACTAGATAAATAGTTTCTAATTATTATTTAATTTTCTTTTACTCGAAATAACAAATGCGCTTGGAAAGCTTGTAATGCATTCTATATAAAACATCCAAAATATTAGCATAAACTATAGGCTTAGAATTACCCTTGAATTTGTGTAGTAGAGCTTGAGTGTTTTACCGTAAGTAGCGCCACTGATATTTCTGCCCGCATTTATCACTAAATTTTACGAAATTATGTATTATTTATAATTTTTAAGGATTCCATAGATAATTTAATCCTGTAACAACAATTTTTCGATGTAAAATACGTAGTTTTTTTATCATTTCCAAAATTCAGTTAATGTCATTGAATATTACAGTATAAGAAAGAATTCTTGTCATAATTAATGATCTCGTGTTATCAAAACAGTGTAATTAACAATTTTCACTGTTAAAGTATCTGATACTTTGAATTAATTTTGAAAGTTCAAAATGTACAAAAAATTCAATGAATAATATTCATAAATAATAATATAAATAATTTATATAGTATATACCTAAATGTATGCACTTATGTGTGTACATACACACACTTTATCGTTAATAATACATTATCCTGTTAATAAGTCTACTTAAGCAATATTAACAAATTGAAATTTTATAAAATTCTATTTATTGTTAACTGTTGCTGCATAGCTTGTAATATTTTATAAAATACTATATTGTACAGTAAATACTGAACTAATTTTTTATGTGCAATATGTTATCCTTCTCAGCAAGATATAATTATACAAAGGGAAAACTGGTAACAACATTAAAATTTTTATGGGCTACGAATTAGTTTAATGTTATATTTTTATTTCAGATTAAATATGGAAAAGTGCAAACTCTATTGCAATTATCAAGGTAAATGACTTGTATACAGGTGTTTATAATGTGTATATGCAAATATCTTTTTATTAAATGTACTTTTTCAACTATTTATTTATATTCTAGACATACATCTACACAAAAAGATGACGAATATCAGTATATTAAAAAAAGTAAAATCCCTACAATGCACTTTCAACCATATCTACCACGTTTATCTATTCCTGAACTTAAAGATACATGTAAACGATACTTGAACGCACAGAAACCTTTATTATCTCATGAAAAATTTGCGGAAACTTCATCCTATGTCACTGAATTTTTGACGAAAGATGGTACTTTCTTGCAAAATAAACTCATTAAAAAAAATTCCAAAAATCGTCACACTAGTTATATCAGCGAACCATGGTTTGATATGTATCTCAGAGACCGTAAGCCTTTACCAATTAATTATAATCCTTTCTTAGTTTTTGTACCAGAGGATAAATCAGAGTATAATATTCAGTTAGTGAAAGCTACTAATCTAATCATATCATCATTAAGGTTTATGAAGTCATTAAAAGAGAACATTTTACCACCAGAAGTGTACCATTTAAATCCTAAAAAATCTGATACTGATTTGTTTCATACTACTATAAGATTGCTCCCACCCCAATTAACCTGGTGGATAGCATGTGTATTATTTCAAGCTTATCCACTGGATATGTCGCAGTATTGCAATTTATTTAATACAACAAGATTACCGAAATTAGAAAAAGATGAGATTTATCAAAATAATACTGCACGACATATAATCGTAATGCGGAAAGGACATTTCTATTGCTTCAATGTAATTGATAAAAATGGTTTAATTTACGAACCAAAAACAATAGCAACATGTATGAAAACTATTTTAGAAGATGATAGACCAGCTAACAAAAATTCAATTGGAGTGCTAACCACTGCAGAACGTAATTTATGGGCTAATACCAGAGCACATTTATCACAAATTGGTAATCAAGAGCTTCTGGAGAAAATAGATTCAGCTGTGTTCACAATGATATTGGACGATACATATATCGGCACAGATTATAATACATTAATTAGAACATACCTCCATGCAGACGGAACAAATAGATGGTTCGATAAATCATTTTCATTAATTGTAACCCAAGATGGATATGCTGGTATAAATTTTGAGCATTCTTGGGGAGATGGAGTGGCTGTACTCAGATTTTTTAATGTAAATAATTTAGAATTTAAATAAAAAAATAACTGTCATGTATGATGATAATGACTTTTATGTTTGCAGGATATAAAAGATGATATATCTAAAAAACCAAGATTCCATCCCACTGACGTTTATCACCTCCAGAAAGCAGCAGCGACTGATGTTAAAAAACTCGAATTTATTGTAAACGATGAAATACAAAGCACTATTAATGAACAAAAAGAAAAATACATAAAATGGACGGAACAACTGAGCATTGATCATATAATATACAATGAGTTTGGTAAAGATGAATGTAAGAAATACGGAGTAAGTCCTGATGCAATTATGCAATTGGCATTCCAATTAGCTTTATATTATCAGAAAAATTGTGTAGCACCAACATATGAATCCTGTAGTACCGCCGCATTTAAGCATGGACGAACCGAAACTATCAGGTCCTGCACAGTAGAAACGAAAACAACATGCGAATCAATAATTCGAAAAAACAATGCTTTAAGTAAGACTGCACTAAGGCAATTAATAATTAATTGCAGTGAAGTCCATAATAAACTCACTAAAGAGGCTGCTATGGGTAATTATAAAGACACAAATAAGCGTTATATCACTTGTATTTTATTTAAAAAGAAAACTGTAATAACAAGAGTTAACATTAATTATTGTTTTGCATGTTTTTAGGAAAAGGGTTTGATCGACATTTATTCGCATTAAAAAAAATTTGGGAACAAACAAATATACCCAAGCCGGCGATTTTTGAAGATCCAGCTTATGATTACATTAATAATAACGTCTTATCTACATCTACTCTTTCAAGTTCAGCCGTACTATTTGGCGGATTTGGCCCAGTAGTAAATAATGGATACGGAATCGGGTAAGACATTCGTAATTGTTTCTATAAATATTTAATCTGTTTTCTACTATTATATAAATTGATTTTATGAAATTTTATTTATAATATTTTTATCTAATATGTAGATACATGATACAAGATCGAAGACTGGGAGCTGTTGTAACAAGTTATAACACACACTGTGATTCTAATGAGTATGTCAAGTGTTTAGAACAGGCATTTAATAACATTTATCAAATATTAACTTAGATGATGGCACTGTTGCATATTTGCAATCAGTATCAGTATTGAATTGAATCTCATTAATCATACACATTTCATTTATATGAATTTTGACCATTGTTGATTATATACACAACTATATATTTTTTCTATCGTCTTTGAGAACTTTTTTACTCTTATTAAAATAATAAAGGCCTATTTTCTTCGTATTATGTTGTAAAATGAATTGCGGTGATAAATAAGATTGTAATACTATATTTTACATATATGTGCAACATGTGTAAGTAAGTATAATATAACATTATTCTTATTCAATACAACAATTCTGTTGGAAAATATATATACATGAAATGTTTCGTGTAAGAGAGCGCTATAACACACTCAAAATACGATACATAAATAACGGTTGTACAATAATAAATTTTATACTACTAAAACCTGATATTTATGCACATGGTTAATACACAGAGATCATGATACCCAATCTATTAAATCAAAATCTATTTGTATCAAAATTACATTTACCCAAAATGAAGATGATGTACCAACCTGTCACGGTATGTTCTTTTATATGGGTTTCAACCAAAGAAATGTTTACACATTATCATTTTCCCTATATTTTTTGTAACGGTTACTAAACATGGAATGGAATTTCGTGATTCCAAAGAATACTTTATGGTTGCAGCACTTCTTTTCACCCTTAAGTTACACTTTATTTCCCATTTTCACCTTAGATGTCTAGAAGAATTAAAGAATTTATTTATATGTCGAAAAATAAAATTAAAAAGTACATACCAGTGGTTTTAAACAACTTACCATGTAAATGCCTACAATTAATCCAAAAAGACCAATGGCAGAACCAAAAATTTCAACAATAAGAATTTTGACGAACAGAGCAGAATTGGCTGCATCTGCGAGAGCTGCTCCAGATCCTACAATGCCCACAGCTATGCCGCAGAACAGATTGACAAGACCAACAGCTAAACCTGCTCCAAACATTAAATATCCAGCGAGCCAATTCTGATTGCGAATAGATTCATCTAAAAGTGCTTTTCTATAATCGAACTGTTCCAACATTCCTGATAAAACGATGGCTGTGATCAACCCATAAATAGCCACAGCTTCACAAAATATTACAGAGATTAAATTCTTTGTTTTAATTCTTGGAGCTTTGACACCACCTCCTACGATCGACACACCGGTCGTATGAATACCTCTGAAACGATCAATTTCTATTAATCTTTTGCTTCTTATATAAAATACATATAAAATACCACCGATATGAAGTCTTAAAAACTTACAATGCAGCACCAACCACGGACAGAGCAACAGCAAGTCCTATACCAAGAGTTGCCCACATATATGGAGAGGAATTTTCCAAAAACCTATGATCATTTTTAGCGATCAGATTCTTTTATAGGTGCTCATAAATATTATAACTTTCAGTTAAATATTAAGCAATTAAAATCTCTGGCCTTACCATGCAATACTAACACGTTCTCCTTTCCCAGTAAATACATGGTACAGTACTACAAAGAATATTTCATTTTATTTGTATTTAAAGTCTTGTCTACTTTACAGAAGCACAAAATATATATCGTTTAGCCAGCATAAACATATAAATATTTCTGATCAGTTTGAGAAGCATATAATTTTTTCTAGGATAAAATAAGTATAAAGTAGTACCCAAGACTGCAATTGTAGCAGAGGCAGTGGTCGCGAAAGTAGTACCCAAAATGTATCTCATCGCGGTATTTTTGGTTCCCTCGTTCGTCGCACAACACTCAAAGCAAACGCGATAGAATAAATGCGTTCAGACTCTAAAGCATAAGTCAACTGCAGAATATAGGAATCCCTTAAAATAAGAACATTTCACGTAAAGATTAAAAGGAAAGCGCACTCACGCCCGTTCCTATCATGTGACGTCTGGTCTGGTGCTCCTAATGGTTAGGCACACTAGTGACATCGATCGCAGAAAAACAGTATTAAAATTCAATTTTTAAATTCATCTTAAAACCTAAAACGTCTAAAGAACATTAATTGAACAAATCAATAAGCTTCTCGTTAATAGAATAAATCGGATCTATCGTATACACGTATACTTACATGTGATCCTACAACACATACACGTATCATAATGTTGAATTAAGAGTAGAATAAATTTTTTACTCAATCAACATACCAATAATTATCAAGAGAACAATCGAAACGATTATTTTATTCTCTCGAACATCTAAAGGCACACGTATCGCATACCTATTTACTCATTCCCTAAGCTCCCATTTTCCATTCGTCAAAATAAACTTTTCAAATTTCTCTTCCTTCGTTCCCTCGTACAAGTCACATCTCTGCAACTGTTAAATCGTAAAGATAAAAGAAGTACCGAGCGTTGGCGACGGCAATGACACCGCGAAGAGGCGAGCCGCACTCTTTTTCCCTCGAGCGAATTATTTATCATAGTTTCTAGATTCGAAACAAAGCGCAAAGTGCAGGCGAAGTAAAATCTCCGACTATCTAAAATCTAATTTTAGAATTCGTCACAGCTCATTCGTGTCGTGTCTTGTACCTAGGATAAAAGTGGCGTGTGCGTGGATGTAATGCTGATTAGATTACGATTGTCTGATTCCATCGAGATCGTTGAAAATGTTCGCGACAAAGGGGTAAGAGTTCGGCCGTGGTCGCGGCGTTTCACGGGAATTCGTTGAATTCGTCGGATTAATCGAGAAAGAGGAGGCGCAGACAACGGACAATTGGACAACGACAAAACGAGAACCGAAGAATAGAAAACGGAAAGTCTCTATGGCGAAAATTTCGGTTAAGGACCGTGATCACTCTCCGCGTATATACGTGAAAATGAGGAACTATCGCTGAAGTTATTTTGGTCTTCGATTAAATTACATTGATAAATTTAGAGACCTAAATTGAGGTTTGTCGACTAGAGGTGCAGTTCCTACGAGAGTCACGTGTCACGCGAGGCTCGTTAGACCGAATATTAAACGGACCTGGAAATTGAAGATCGAACGTCCACGGGAACGGACCCAGTGTCCGATCGAGTCGGGAAACAATATCGCACCTTCGATCGCGCGATTCCCCTTCTAAATCTCTCGTATACGAGGAGTTCGAATGACCAGATTCCATTAGGCGTGAACGAGCTAAAGATACGTTTCCACCTGACACTCTATGCCGTTGGAATTTATAGAATAGACTCCACGCTTCGCGATTCTAGCATTAATCTCTTTCGGTATCGCGCAATAACGTGATCATTGCGTTTCTGTAACCGACGAATAATTCTCCGCAGGTGCACCAAATTCCACGGGTTCCTGAGAGAAGCTTATGACGCCGGAAGGGCGGAACCATTCGCTGCCCGCTTCAACGACTCGTCCGCGAGCGGGGACAGAGAAGGAATGATTAAGGTTCTCATGGATATACCATGCGTAAAAACTCTGATAATCGCTGAGTCGTACAGGGGTAAGGATGACGTCAAGGCGGCGGAGGTTTATAGTAAAATAGGCGAAGCGATCGCTGGGAATGGAGTTGCGGGTGAACAGGAAAGTAGAATTAGTGTTCTCACCGAAACGCTGTTTGCGGCCAGTGTGACTAGTAGATTGTTTCTGAGAGCTCTGTCCGAATGCGCCCAGCACTGTTACGACTTGAAGGCTTTCACCGGCTGCCTGAGGTACTGCGAGTGCATGCTTGCGCTTCCTGCGGGCTTGTACGATAAGACCGGCGAGAGCATGAGCGATTTCTTGGAGCGTAGGAGAGCGTGCGCGTATTTGAGGGACGAATGCTTTAAGATGTTGAAGCGGTCATCTTCCAGGGGAAGAAGAACGCGCCGGAAGTGCGATCAGAAACAGAGCTCCTCCTCGGAGGACGCATCGCGAAACGGGCAGGTACCGGCAAGGGCGACAGCAACGGTACCGGTCGTCGACGGTAAACGACACCCCGTTCTCCAAAGTTGCTCCGACGCTGTGGCCCTGGAGTTCGACGAAAAGAGAGGCCGACGCCTCGTAGCGACCAGAAACATCAAAGCGGGAAGCGTGCTGATCGTCGAGCGACCGTTCGCGTTCGCCACGAACAAGGACGCGCTCGATACGAATTGTTCGCATTGTCACGTTAGCTTTAAGTCGAGCGACACCGTTAAAATTCCGTGTCGCTTCTGTCGAGCTGTTAGTATAAGAAAGTAGTGTTATCGTTGTTGTTCTCGATAGAGGATAAAATATGAATACCGGTTCGTTTTTCTCCAGGTGGGCTTCTGTTCGGAGAAGTGTCGCGAAGAGGCATGGAGCACGTACCATCGATTCGAATGTTGCTTACTCGATGGCTTTTACGAGAATCGTTCGGAGGAAACGCAACTGCAGGTTTCCCGTTTGTTGCTGGCTTATAGAATGACTGTTATAGGGTCTTTGTCTTCGAAAAGTAGAAACGCGGGGAGCGACGATAACGTGGACAATGAGATTCCGTTTCTGGACGACGATTTCCTTCGGTGTCACGACACGGAAGCGAACGAAGGACACGGGAGCGAGCCGGGGATCAGCGAGATTTATCGGTCTCAGGATTATCGGACCGTGTTGGCTTTGACGACGCACTGCGCGACCCTGGACAGCAACGTGAACCTGATCCGCGCCATCGAGGCGGTCTTTTTAACGAAGTGTTTCATTTTCGCTTTGGGTAAAATGGATGTTGTTTGTTTGAAGGAAGCCTTCCTCTGGTTGGCTGTAGGAATGTTTCACCATTTGCAAGCCATCCAGTGCAACGCGTACGAGATCGTGGAGAACGTGTACAAGGAAACGAGCCACGTGTGGGAACCGAGGGAGATCGGCGGAGCAATTTATCCGACAGTCAGTCTCGTAAATCATAGCTGTTATCCGAATGTCGTGCGTCATTCGTATCCAGCTGGTACGAAATGCGTGTCTTATGTCTTTTGAACGGTAATGAATATTTGATCGTTGCGCGTACGAAGTTTATCACGAATCTATTGTCTCGCAGGAACAGTCGTGGTAAGAACGTTGCGGTTCATCGGCAAGGGTAAGGAAATTCTCGATTGCTACGGACCACACTTCCTTAGCGAGAAGAGACTGCAGAGACGGGAGCATTTGGAGAGAAAGTATCATTTCCTGTGCGAGTGTGAGGCTTGCATGGAAAACTGGCAGTATCCTTTACCCGAAACGATGATCTATAAATGCAGTACGTGTTCGGAAGGTATCGGTGTCCTTCCTTCGAGCGAAAAGAATACTCGGTACGCGGCAGCCGTGCAATGCCGTAGATGCAATGAGAGAATCGATTGTAAGAAGTTAGAGGTTCAATTCCGGAAATCGGTTGACAAGCGATTGAACGCGATTTCAAAGATGTACGAAGGCTGTTACGCACAGGCGTTGCCGCAATTGCTTGAGCACATACACTTTATTGAAAAGTTCTTTCTTGCACCCAATATCGAAACTATCAAAACACAACAATGTATCATTCAATGTTACAATCAGTTTGGCTGTATCTCTCAATAACAATACGCTAACAATTATGTGTGTATGTATAAATATGTATACACCGATACACGATTTGGGATTTATATCACAATGGATTTAAAAAGAACAGAATTTTCACGGTATCTTTTTGTATTAGGCACCATCGTACCGATGGATCCTGCGAGCAGTGGAAAATACTGCTACATAGAATAGTTACAGACTGCCCCCGCGCTCACGACTGGTGACACATTTTTTCCCCGTTTTCATGTCTTACGGCTACCAAGAAAATTGACGAATCCTAAATAAATTAATCGCCGGTATTCGCACGTGAATACATGAGTACATTAAAGCGTTTCAAGTGTAGTTGTGACATGAGCACCATTCATATTGATGGCAATACTTTCGTATTACTTGGTATTAATTGTGCTGATGATTGCTATAAATGCACGTGTTACGGTATTGTGTGTTTTACGCTTAGAATGTGAAATTAAAAGAAAATGCGTAAACCTTAAAAATTATTCTAATCGGTGTAGTAGAGACACTGATTGCATGAAAAATAAAAATTATATATATATATACATATGTATGTATATATGTATATACACAGTGGATCGATACACGCGTAGTTTCACTCTCGTCATTTACCTACTAAAACGCCAAAATGTCTATATTAAACTATAACTTCGTGGCGGTGGTTGTATGCGTGTGTATAGTGTACAAGTTCGGTTACCACATATGCGTCTCTCGAATTTCACTAATTATATGACCAGCTTGAGTTAGTGCCTGAAATAGAAAATATATAAATGTAAATTTCAGATTTGATTTATATAATACAGAACGTCTCGCCGTGCACAATTGAATATACCTTTAGCATGTCTGCCGCTTCCTTGCGTCTGATGGCAACGTGTTCACTTTCGTTTAAAAGTAGTTCGGCGTGATCAGATTTATACAAATGAGTTACAAGCTCGCTTTGTAAATTATCTTTAACATAGTTGACTAGGAAATGCATGACAGCTTTTGGTACGCTATCCTGTATGGATTTTCTTACGATATAAAAGTATGATTTTATTAGTCTCTCTGCAAAGTTGTACGTTTACATTAGTATACACGAAATCAAACTGGTATTGCACGAGGTAATTGAAAATCCCCTTTCCCCACTTACCAATAACTTCACAGTCTCGTTGTTCTCGCTCGCTGAGTTTGCGAGACGTTTGCGTTGGTACTACTGGAAGTAGATTTATTGGTTTCTGTTGAGGAGATGCTTTTTGTATTTCGATCATTGGATTTGAGTCTGTATTTGGATTAGGAGACATGCTGTTTTCTCGATTTTTTACAGGTGAACCATCGATCGAACTGTTCGAATCGATTTTCCCATGAGGCAACCAATTAGTTAATAACCAAGGCATCGATTGCTCCTTATTCTGCTCAGAAAAAGATGTCACATCGTCTTGACTATTATTGTCTGATTTCGAATTCTGTTAGGAAGGTGTCACAAGTTTTAGTTACACGACATATTCGTCAAACTAGTACAAGGATACAAACATTTGAAATGTTATGTATGTTCTTCAATGAAATTTTAAATAATCAACTTTATACGGATGATTGTAAAGGTATATCGACAGAAAAGTTAGTCACTGAAAAACTATTTTAAGAGTAAATTGTTTATGCTGTCAATAACTTACGGTATCGTTTGGTATTATGGTACTCGATGGTCTTGTGGCAGATAGAAGTCTTTTATTATGTTTTAGGTGATCCCCATCAGTATTTTGAAGTAAAGACGACGCAAGAACAGCATCCTTATGAAAATCTGGATGCTTTGTATTTATATACGCTAATTCTATGGCAACTAAATTTTCAACCATCTGATTAGTAGGTGGAAGTCGTCGACGCAGCAACAGCGTCACAACATCAACGATACGTTCGTGCAACTTTGGGAAACGTAACATCTCTTGTTGTACTTCGATACCACAGTGCTGTATAATACTTTGCATTTCATCGTGAACAAGTTCTACGCATCGTAGAGAGGGCTCCTCGAGTCTTCGAATTTGTCGCTTAACCAATAATTCAAATGAAACTTCTGGCACGAACAAAGCTGGTCTCGGACCAGTGGCATTTTGAATGGCCGTCAAAATATCCCCTTTTTTAAGACCAGCCAGTGGATGTATAGAGTTGAGCGTTTTACCAAACGCTTCATGAAAAATATAACAAATTCGAGCACCCCCACGTAATTCCGTTGTTTCTATGTTCCTGGCAGTTCCCTCTATCGTTGAACAATAACTGCTTGCAAATTTCGTAATAATTTGAAGTAATGTCTGACTCTTGTCCCCAACATCTTCCCCATACGAATTAAGCAAGGTTTGAAATTGGGATACCATGACATTTACTCTCGTCTGTTTTCAAAAAATATAAGTTCTACCAAATTATGTTCATTTTAGTTCTTTCTAATTATACATGGCAAGTATTTACTATTATTATTTGCTGTTACCTTTAATTCTGGAAGGCAGTCCCGAATATGGTGCATAAGTAAACGGTTTAATGTTTTAGCTAAATAAGGAGTTCCATTCCTATTTGCCAAGGTGGGATATTTCCTCTGTAAAAATGCAGCTTCATCTTTCAATGCATCTTGAATACTTTTATTATTCATTATATCTTGCTGAGAACGATTGACTACTCCAATAATTCCTAATTTTACTGGAATTACTCTGCCACATAATATATCTATAGCATCCGTTCCTAAAATAATTTACAATAAATAAATCAAGAATTTCATCATGAATCAAGAATTTCAAGTAATAAAATTACCAGCATCCATAAGATCTAACTTAGTCACAACTGCTAAAGTACGTCTTCCATCTGGATCTACATCTTTGCTAAGTTTTAAACTTTCACTGGTAGCCATATCTGTATTAGCAGTGACCACAGCCAATATAATAGAATTAGGATTACATATATACTTTAATACCAGCTGACTAATTTGAGTTTCAATATCTTCAGGTTGGTCACCAACTGGTACCTTTGTGATACCAGGAAGATCTATAAGTGTCAAATTAACCACTGATTTTGAATAAATTTTCAAATTAATTGGTTCTGGACAAATCCCTTTATTAGATCCAGCCATGCGATCTGTTTCAGCCTCAATTTCTTTACGTATGTCCTCAAAATCTGTGTAAACTTTACTTCTGGAGTGTAAAAATATTCCCCACTCATCCAGATCCAATGTACCATTTTCTGCGCTTCTATGTTCACGATCTTCTTTAGGCGTATAGACAAGTTGCAGCACCAAGGGACGTCGAGTAACTATTCCAACACCCCTTGGTAAAAAAGACCGACCAACCAAGCTTTCAATCACCGATGATTTTCCAGAACTCTAAAAACATTATTACCTGTATTTAATTTCGAACTTACAACAATGCACGTAAATTATAAGTGACGGTCCCTTAATAGTCCAATTTTCCATACTTATGCAATAATAAAGATAAACTGCTAATTCTAGTAACATTTCCACCAATTAACTATTACAAATTATAACTTAAACTGTTAATATCAGTGTCACAAATTGTTCTGTAGATAATAGTAATAACGTTCTCCTACAACACGACAAATATATGTACTTTATAACGTGCAATTCATAAAAACAAAAACTACAGTTAAATCGTTCGACTGCGTAGTTTCATGTTCAAGAAGAAAAATGAAATTCAAATCGAGATCACGATCACAATAGCTCGTAAAATTCCTGACTTTCTTGTTAATTTAAATATGAAAACTGACCTGTGTACCAAGCACGACAATTTGTGGTAGCTGTATAGCATCTGCACCGACAGTATTGAATACATCTTGTAATTTATTTATTACAGGTATCAAAGCTTCCATCGTAAAAGAATAAGTACAAGGTAAATCGATCGAAAGACAGTTACGCGGTTCGAGCCGGTGCAAAATGTAATTTTGCTATAATTACACCTGCAATTACATGCGTTACTAATGGTACCAAACAGTTCCCGCACTAAAGTTTGTTCTTTTGCAAATGTTATTGGCTTTCGTAGTGATTTCTGCGGTTGTAAAGATTCCGTTAAAATCACTGCAACAATACTACAGCCGTTGTTCCCAACCACCGTTTTCTTGCTCCATAGTCCACACGCGTGCGCGTGCTACAGTTCTGCGCATAACGTTTCACTTCGAAACGTTTCTACCACTTGAATACTAAAACCTTAAATAAGTAAGTTATACTTAATAGGTACTTCAGCACACGAACAGAAGCGATAGATTTTTTATACTGACCGAGTGAGAAAATCGAAAGCAATCTACAGTGAAATATATTTACCTCGCAAACACGTTTAATCGTCAACCACTTAAGTGGTACTTTATTCAAGATTAATAAATATTAAGAAAGAACACGAATATGTTTTAAAGATAATGCCCAAATGGTCCGCGATGAAAGTGATCATAGAAATAAGCCAGAAGGTTAGATAAAATAAAAATAAGTTTAAGGCGGAGAAATGGCGCTGCTGCTGGAAAATCGTCGCGGTTTGTAAGTAACACTTCTATGCCATAGTCTATGCCCCCTATAGATCGTCATCACCTGTGTGACAGTTCATCCAAGAGCGGGGGTCAGCCGATCACCCGCTCAAGATCTTCAGTATATTGTAATACCGATTACCGCGGGATGGGTGATTCCTTGGATGGCTCCGGGGAACCATCCCCGGAGTCCCAAATTGTTATAGTGGTGGGATATTCGGAGTTTGCAAATTATTTAAAAAAGGTTGTGATGGTTCTTCTACCCGACGAAGAAGTGGTACCACCCGCGCTAACTTCTGCTTTCGACGACAAGAACAATCAAGAGTGTATTAGAAAATTCTTGAGCGATTCTCAGGTGTGGGCTCTTTACGTACAAAGGAGTTCCAGCAAAGGTACGTGAATCGACGATACGCGATAAATCGTTAACCGTCTCACCGTTGTAAATTTTGCACTCTGCCCTCTCGCGATATCCTCCATTGCGGTCTCTCGATACAACGGTACATCAAACCGCGACAACGGAAACGTATACTGAAAATTAATGTGCTACTTGCCGTCGAACGCATTTACATCTGCCTTGTCGAATATGACTCATACTTTAATATGGTCGATACATCTAACAAGAGTATTGTATTCTTTTTAGCTCTGTCCTCATTTTTCACAGACATTTCTGTAACTCGCGAAAATGTGCCGGTGCGCAATCTTACGTATCAATTATTTTTCGATTTTTTCATTTCTCTACGGTGTTAAAGTATTGCATATAGAAAATATTGAAAAATAACTTTCACCCGCATTAATTATAATTATTATTTTATACCCGCTCCGTTGAATTGCTAGTTTTCAAAGAGAATAATTGGAATTGCACAATTTTTGCAAGAATGATATTTTGTGGAATCGTTATAATTAGTATATAATAATTTATATTTGTATAGTATATTATATTTTAATTTCTGATCTTTTAGAGGAAGACAGTAATGAAGGGGATGAAGAAAAAGACAATTCTGTTTTCTATATATCAAATGAGATACATTTTACTAATCCTAAAATGGCCTCCTTAGTTTTAACAAAACGTGGGGCAATAGTAGAAGCTGATAAGTCGATTCATTCGCAAGTACGATTAATTACTTTTTCGGATGGGCCACCTTATGAAACATTACATGCCATTAGTAAAACTATGGCTCCATACTTTAAGAGTTATGTGAAGGAAACTGGTCGTGCCGATAGAGATGGAGATAAAATGGCACCGACAGTTGAGAAAAAAATAGCAGAATTAGAAATGGGATTATTACATTTACAACAAAATATAGATATTCCTGAAATTTCTTTACAAATTCATCCAACTGTTGCACAAGTAATCAAACAATGCACAGAAGAAAATCGTAAGCCAAAAGTCGCAGATTTTGGAGATAAAGTTGAAGACTCTACGTTTCTGAATCAATTGCAGAATGGCGTTAATCGATGGATCAAAGAAATTCAGAAGGTAAATAATTTGTTAACCACTTCTGTTCTATGTAACCCATGTTAAACTTGTACCATTCAATTTCTTTCAGGTTACTAAACTGAATCGAGACCCAGAGTCAGGTACAGCGCTTCAGGAGATTTCGTTCTGGTTAAACTTAGAAAGGGCATTACATCGGATACAAGAAAAAAGAGAAAGCATAGAAATTTCATTAACATTGGATATACTTAAACATGGAAAGAGATTCCATGCCACAGTTAGTTTTGACACGGATACTGGCCTACAACAAGCTTTGGCTACTGTCAATGATTACAATCCGCTAATGAAGGATTTCCCAATTAACGATTTACTGTCAGCTACAGAACTCGAAAGAATAGGAACCAGTGTTCAGCAGATCTTTATTCACTTTAGAAAAATCAGAAGCACAAAATATCCTATTCAAAGAGCGTTAAGATTACTAGAAGCTATATCCAGAGATCTTGGGCAACAGCTTCTAAAAGTACTAGGCACAAGAAGATTAATGCACATTCCATTTGATGAGTTTGAAAAAGTTATGGGACAATGTTTCGAAGTGTTCACTACATGGGACGACGAATACGAAAAGTTAACTGGATTGTTAAGAGATCTTGTTAAAAAGAAACGCGACGAGCATATGAAATTGTTATGGAGGGTTTCGCTAACACATAAAAAGTTGGAAAATAGAATGGAACATATGCGTCATTTTCGTCTGCAGCATGAACAGCTCAGGACAGTGATTGTTCGTGTGCTTAGACCTACTGTTCAAACTAATAATACTACAACAATGGAGACTCCTGATAATGACAAAGTCGAATATGCTCTCGATGCAGCAGATGCAAATGCGATTAGTGAAGTGAATTTAGCATATGAGAACGTTAAAGAAATAGATTGTCTTGATATTAGTAAAGAGGGTCAGGAATCTTGGAAAGCTGCCGTTTATAGATACGAAGAGCGCATAGAACGAGTCGAAGCAAGAATCACAGCACACCTGAGAGATCAATTGGGCACGGCGAAGAATGCAAATGAAATGTTCCGAATTTTTTCGCGTTTTAATGCGCTTTTCGTGAGGCCGCACATACGAGGCGCAATTAGAGAATATCAAACGCAACTGATACAAAGAGTCAAGGACGATATCGAAGCCTTACATGAAAAATTCAAGGTATAGAAAAATGAAATACAGGGAACATTGAAATCGGAAATTTTATTTAATCATTGTATTATCAATATAGGTTCAGTATGCACAAAGCAAATGCTGTAAAATGAGTACAGTCAGAGACTTGCCTCCCGTCGCCGGTTCCATCATTTGGGTCAAACAAATAGATTATCAACTTACGATGTACTTAAAACGGGTCGAAGACGTGTTAGGTAAGTATTAAAATTATTTCATACATTTTTAGAAAATTTTCAATAATCTTCCTTTTACAGGAAAAGGATGGGAGTGTCACATCGAGGGACAGAAATTGAAAGCGGACGGGGATAGTTTTCGCATGAAGCTGTCGACTCAAGAAATTTTCAACGATTGGGCACGGAAAGTACAACAAAGAAATCTCGGTGTCACCGGAAGAATTTTCGCTATAGAGAATGTACGATCGCGTACAAGCCGTGGCAACGTATTGAAATTAAAAGTGAATTTTCTGCCTGAAATTATCACGTTATCAAAGGAAGTAAGAAACTTGAGAAATCTTGGTTTTCGTGTACCGTTGCCGATCGTGAATAAAGCGCATTTGGCCAATCAACTGTACCCGTTTGCGATCAGCCTGATCGACAGCATCAGGACTTACGAGAGGACGCTGGAGAAGGTAACGTTATGTTACGTTTAGAATTTCTATATTATATGTACATTTTCGAAATTACTGTTTTAACTTTTAAAGAGATTTTATCGTTCACTAGCAACGAAGTTTTATATTTTCGAATGTTTTTGCATCATGACGAACACTACTATAATATTACAGTGGTTTTAAAGCCTTGAAAATATGCAATAAGATAGAAAATAATAGGGAATAGTGCCAGGTTAAGGGTATACATTAGTTGTACTGATATTTCTAATTTCTTGGATCTCCAACATGTTTAGCTTACCAATCGGAGTACCCACTGCCCCGCACTGAAGGTAGCCATTGTATGATGCTTTCAGGAATTATGCATCTTGCCTACATATGCAAATTAATGTAATGCCTGCTTAGCTCTCGTAGAAAGATCTGTACTGCAAGATGATTTTGTTTTAGTACGATGAACAATTGAAAGATATTAGTGTAATTACGTCTGACGAATGAGTAGGTAAATTTTCAATTCGGATAAGATTCAGCTTTTGTTTCGTTTTCAAGAAAAATATACAAACGTTTGTACATTCTGTTTGTCGGAGCTTTCAGACTTCTAATTTCATTGATCGCTCTTCCTCCAAAGGAACCTTTGAAATTTCTGCGATTTTGTTCGTACTTCAGGTTGAATTTACTTACTATATTTAGTTCCGATTAATTTGTAAGATTAAACGGTTTCGTATATTCCAAAATATAATTGCTTGTAATCGATATGGCGATATCTTGTATTTCTCTGTTTCTGTGATAAGCAAGCGCATATATGAATCAACTACAGTTCTTTAGGATTTGCTGTATGAATACGTGAAACTTTTGTTTGCATCTTTTGTATGTACATCATTGAATGGTAAACTGTAATTTATGTTGTAAAACAGTATCGATATAGGAATGTAACCTCAGCAATTACATTTTATAATTTCATATTTCTCCCTAGATCGAAGACAAGGCCAGTATCGTACCGTTAGTTGCTGGGATGCGCAACGACGTCTTATCACTTATTTCCGAGGTGAGCTTTTATTTGCAATCGACAAAGATCGTGCTGTAAAATACATACGTTGTTTCTTTTTTTTATATGCATATATATACAATTTTTTGTGTTTTAAAATTAGGGTATCGGGCTCATCTGGGAAAGTTACAAGTTAGATCCGTACGTGAAACGTCTCTCCGACGTTGTTGTTTCGTTCCAAGAGAAGGTGGAGGATCTAGTGGTGGTCGAAGAACAACTAGACGTCGATGTTCGTTCCCTCGAAACATGTCCGTACTCGGCAAACACGTTCGCCGATATACTCACGAAAATTCAAAGAGCCGTGGACGAACTGTCTTTAAAGAATTATTCGAACTTGAACATCTGGGTGTCCAGACTCGACGAGGAAGTGGAAAAGAATTTAGCGGCGAGATTGGAAGCTGGGATAAAAGCATGGACCAATGCGCTCACCGGTCAAAAGAAGGAAGTGGATTTGAGTATGGATACCGATGCTCCGTCTCAGCCTACTCACAAACCCGGCGGTGATCCGAAGATTCAGAACCAAATTCACGAAGTTCGCATAACGAACCAAACGATGTACTTGTATCCGAGCATCGAGGACGCGAGATTTCAGATAATGCAACAACTATTCGCATGGCAGGCCATAGTCACGTCTCAGATTCGGCTCCAGAGTTCAAGATACCAAGTAGGTTTGGATAAACCGGAATCGGCAACTTACAGGAACTTACTCACAAAATTGCCCAATGGGAAACAACCATTGGAAGCGGCTTACGAGGCGGTGGAATCTAAAATGAAAGATGTCGCCGACTACGTGGACCAGTGGTTGCGTTATCAGGCTCTTTGGGATTTACAACCGGATAATCTGTATGGAAAATTGGGAGAGAACATAAACCTGTGGATGAAGTGTCTGAACGACATTAAGAAAACTAGAACCACGTTCGACACGTCGGACACTAGGCGCGAATTTGGCCCTGTTATCATCGACTATGCGAAAGTGCAGAGCAAAGTATCGTTGAAGTACGATTCGTGGCACAAAGAGACGCTCGGTAAATTCGGAACCCTCCTTGGCAATGAAATGGCAAGCTTCCACTCGCAAGTGTCGAAATCTAGAAGCGGTTTGGAACAACAGTCCATCGAAGCTGCTAGCACTTCCGACGCGGTTGGCCTGATAACGTACGTCCAGTCTTTGAAACGCAAAATGAAAGTGTGGGAGAAACAGGTGGATATATACCGCGAGGGTCAGAGAATATTGGAGCGTCAGAGATTCCAGTTCCCATCCTCGTGGCTGCACGTAGACAACATCGAAGGCGAATGGGGCGCTTTCAATGAGATACTCAAGAGAAAGGACACGAGTATACAGACGCAGGTGGCGTCGTTGCAAATGAAGATCGTCGCGGAGGACAAGGCCGTTGAAATAAGGACCACTGATTTCCTGAGCGATTGGGAAAGAGGGAAGCCGGTCGAGGGTCACTTGCGACCGGACGAGGCGTTACAGCAGCTGCAATTGTTTGAAAGTAAATTCGCCAGATTGAAAGAGGAGAGAGACAACGTGGCGAAGGCCAAGGAAGCTTTGGAACTGCAAGAACCCGGAGGTGTTTCGACCAGCGAGGACAGAATGCAAGTTGTGTTCGAAGAGCTTCAAGACTTGAGAGGTGTCTGGTCAGAACTGTCAAAGATATGGGCTCAAATCGACGAGACCCGAGAGAAGCCATGGCTATCTGTGCAACCAAGGAAACTGCGACAACAATTGGACACGATGATGGCGCAATTAAAGGAACTGCCTGCCAGGCTCAGACAGTACTCCTCCTATGAATACGTCAAGAAGATGCTGCAGAGCTACACGAAAGTTAACATGTTGATCGTCGAGTTGAAATCTGACGCCTTGAAGGAAAGACATTGGAAGCAACTGACGAAACAGCTGCGTGTCAACTGGGTGTTGAGCGAACTCACTCTTGGTCAGGTTTGGGACGTGAATCTTCAGAAGAACGAGGGTATAGTAAAAGATATTATCCTGGTTGCTCAGGGTGAAATGGCGCTCGAGGAATTCTTGAAGCAAGTCCGCGAGTCCTGGCAAACCTACGAACTGGATTTGATCAATTACCAGAACAAATGTAAACTGATACGCGGCTGGGACGATCTCTTCAACAAAGTTAAGGAGCACATCAATTCCGTGGCTGCGATGAAATTGTCGCCTTACTATAAAGTGTTCGAGGAAGAGGCGCTGACTTGGGAAGAGAAATTGAACCGGATCAACGCGTTGTTCGACGTCTGGATAGACGTGCAGAGACGGTGGGTCTACTTGGAGGGTATTTTCTCGGGCAGCGCGGACATTAAAACTCTACTGCCCGTCGAAACCTCTCGATTCCAAAGCATCAGCTCCGAGTTTCTTGGCCTGATGAAGAAAGTGTCGAAATCCCCGATGGTCATGGACGTCCTGAATATCCCAGGCGTGCAAAGGGCGTTGGAACGTTTAGCAGATCTGCTAGGAAAAATCCAGAAGGCTTTAGGAGAATATCTTGAGAGGGAGCGTACATCGTTTCCTCGATTTTACTTCGTTGGCGACGAGGACCTGCTCGAAATCATTGGTAACAGCAAGAACATCGCAAGACTGCAGAAGCACTTTAAAAAGATGTTCGCCGGTGTAGCAGCCATTCTTCTGAACGACGACAACACCGTCATCACTGGCGTGGCGTCTCGAGAAGGAGAAGAGGTGCTTTTCCAAACTCCAGTCTCTACCGTCGATCATCCGAAGATCAACGAATGGCTGACCCTTGTCGAGAAAGAAATGAGAGTCACACTGGCGTCGAGCCTCGCGAGAGCGGTCCAAGATATCAAACAGTTCAAAGACGGCAATATGAATCCACAAGCGTTCATGACATGGTGCGACAACTACCAGGCACAGATCATTGTCCTAGCTGCGCAGATTTTATGGTCGGAGGACGTTGAAGCCGCTCTGCACGAGGCGCAAACCGACCCGAGCAAAAATCCATTGGAGAGAGTATTGACTCAAGTCGAAGGTACTTTGAACGTGTTGGCGGACTCCGTCTTGCAAGAACAGCCAGCTCTGAGGCGAAAGAAGCTGGAACATCTGATCAACGAGTTCGTGCATAAGCGCACTGTAACGAGGAGATTGATCGCGAATAAAGTCTCCAATCCGAAAGCGTTCGAGTGGCTGTGCGAAATGAGATTCTACTTTGATCCCAGGCAGACAGAAGTTTTACAGCAACTCACCATACACATGGCGAACGCGAAGTTCTTCTATGGATTCGAGTACTTGGGAGTGCAGGATAGACTGGTGCAGACTCCTCTGACAGACAGGTGCTACCTGACCATGACTCAAGCGTTGGAAGCTCGCCTCGGAGGTTCTCCGTTTGGTCCTGCTGGAACTGGAAAGACCGAGTCGGTGAAGGCTTTGGGTCACCAACTCGGACGATTCGTGTTGGTTTTCAACTGCGACGAAACCTTCGATTTTCAGGTAACGAAGAACACGGCGTATTTGAACCCTTTGCACTCGAGAATCGTTTCGCTAGATATATTCTTCACTTTCTAATGAAATATCAGTACGTCTTATAACTAACGTTAATATAAATAATATGGGAATCAATGGATAGAAGTATTCTATTTTAGCGTTTTATGGGTAATTACGTTAAATGAACTTTAATATTCAACATCTAACTTTGTAAATCTGCTGTATCAAACCAAATGGCGACTGAGTCAGATGTGGGTCTCAGTTATCACTTGATTTGATGCAGTGGAACTATAAAATTTGATATTTAATACTGAACTGTGTATAATGCATCAGTGTGTGAAATGTTGGGATAAAAAAGCTTTGTTCCTCAATTCACTTGTGATTTCTCTTTGAGTTAATTTCAAAAAATATCATCTGTGTCAAGTTGGGAAATGTTAATCTCTAACGAAATGCTTCCGAGTGCAAACCAAGATATTTATATTTGTTAAATTCTATTTGAAATCTTCGCAAGTCTGCCACGATATTGTAGGACAAGGGGTTAATTGAACTATCTTAATTGAAACACGTGCCAACGTTTACATTTTATTCTTTCTTTCTTTAGGCCATGGGTCGTATCTTCGTCGGTCTCTGTCAAGTCGGCGCGTGGGGTTGCTTCGATGAATTCAATCGTCTGGAGGAACGTATGCTCTCAGCTGTCTCCCAACAAGTACAAACTATTCAGGAGGCATTGAAGAGTCAAATGGAAGGGAAGAAAGAAGGAACCCTCTGCGTGGAATTGGTCGGCAAGCAAGTCAAAGTCTCTACGGACATGGCAATCTTTATCACCATGAATCCTGGCTATGCCGGACGATCGAATCTTCCTGACAACTTGAAGAAATTATTCAGATCCTTAGCTATGACTACCCCGGACAGGCAGCTGATAGCTGAAGTGATGTTGTTCAGTCAAGGATTTAGATCGGCTGAAAAATTGGCGTGTAAAATAGTACCATTCTTCAAGTAAGTAATTTTCCATAATCTCTTCCATCATTCCAATGTAATCTTATTATAACAATGACACTAATAATGATCGTGAATCATGATATTTCTTCAGACTGTGCGACGAACAACTGTCGGACCAATCTCATTACGATTTCGGTCTTCGAGCGCTGAAATCGGTACTGATCTCCGCCGGCAATGTAAAACGAGATCGCATACAGAAGATTAAAGAGGGCATGCAGAATCGCGGCGAAACTAACATCGACGAGGCATCGATAGCTGAGAATCTGCCGGAGCAAGAGATCCTTATTCAGTCCGTTTGCGAGACGATGGTACCGAAATTGGTTGCCGAAGATATTCCGTTGTTGTTCAGTTTATTGAACGACGTATTCCCGAATGTGAACTATACTCGAGCCGAGATGAAAGGTAATTTAACCGTTCGATGGAACTCTTATGTTTCAATTCCACCGTGTCTACATTCTAAGTGAAACGTACGTTCGCAGGATTGAAGGATCAAATCAGGAAGGTGTGCATGGAGGAGTATCTCGTTTGCGGCGAGGGCGACGAACAGGGAGGTGCATGGCAAGAGAAGGTAATCGTCTGTCGTGATATCGGCCTCGCTGTAAATAATCTTTACTTGCACAACATTCGCTTTCCATTCGAAACAGCAGCACGAAACCAACTGAACAGTCAAAATGAAAGCATGCGAACAAATTTGATTTCATATTTTTTCTTTTTTCTTTTATCTGGCCTATTTTCTTACAAGATTATAATATAACGTAGACGATGTAATTCTTACCATTTAAACTGTTTATCATATGCACTCTCAGGAAGTAGTCCGTGGGAGCTGGCTAGGAAAGGTGAGAGAAAGTAACCTGTGATTAGGTGTCGCACGATCGATATCGTTGAATGTTATAAACGGTATCCTGTCTTATAAATTCGCATCATATCGTTCCTCTGTTTTCCCGTGTTCCTTCGAGTCTGACTATCCTTTGATTTAGGTACTCCAACTTTATCAAATTTGCAATCTGAATCACGGCTTGATGATGGTCGGGCCCAGCGGTTCCGGAAAGACGATGGCCTGGAAGGTACTCTTGAAAGCTTTGGAACGGTTCGAGGGCGTGGAAGGCGTTGCGCACGTGATCGACCCTAAAGCGATCAGCAAGGAAACATTGTACGGCGTGTTGGACCCGAATACTCGTGAATGGACGGACGGTCTGTTCACGCACATCCTCAGAAAGATTATCGACAACGTGAGAGGAGAGATAAACAAACGACAATGGATCATATTCGACGGCGATGTCGATCCGGAATGGGTTGAAAATTTGAATTCCGTGTTGGATGACAACAAGCTGTTGACTCTGCCGAATGGCGAACGTCTCAGTCTGCCGCCGAACGTGAGGGTCATGTTCGAAGTTCAAGACCTGAAGTATGCCACGCTGGCCACCGTTTCCCGTTGCGGTATGGTTTGGTTCTCCGAAGATGTGCTCTCCACGGAGATGATATTCGAGAATTACATGCTACGATTAAGAAACATTCCACTCGAGGACGGAGAAGAGGACAACCTCACGAAAAAGGCATCGGAGAAAGAAGACACCGTCTCGCCCGCGTTATCAGTGCAGAGAGAAGTTGCCAGCATTTTGCAGAGCTACTTTGCTCCGGATGGGCTGGTAGTGAGATGCTTGGAATACGCTATGAAGCAAGAGCACATAATGGACTTCACGCGTTTGCGAGCGTTGAGTTCCTTGTTCTCCATGCTGAATCAATCCGTGCGAAATGTCCTGCAATATAATCATTCGCACACAGACTTTCCGTTGCCGAGCGAACAGCTGGAGCGTTACATGCCAAAGTGTTTGGTGTACGCTTTATTGTGGAGTTTCGCTGGAGATGCCAAGCTTAAGGTTAGGTCTGACTTGGGAGACTTTGTCAGGTCTATCACGACTGTGCCACTGCCAACGCAAAATAACATTCCCATCATAGACTTCGAAGTGAGTATTCACGGCGAATGGTTGCCGTGGAGCAACAAAGTACCGCAGATCGAGGTGGAGACACACAAGGTCGCGAGTCCTGATATCGTCGTACCAACTCTGGACACTGTGAGGCACGAGAGCTTGCTGTACACGTGGCTGGCAGAGCACAAACCAATCGGTAATAGGCGTCGCATACAAGTTTGTGCATCTGTATAATAACAATTTCTATACATCTGTGTATATATTATTTTCCAGTGCTTTGTGGGCCACCGGGTTCCGGCAAAACCATGACACTGTTCTCCGCCCTGCGAGCATTACCGGACATGGAGGTTGTCGGCCTGAACTTCTCGTCTGCCACCACTCCCGAGTTGCTGCTCAAGACGTTCGACCATTACTGCGAGTATCGAAAGACTCCGAACGGCGTGGTTCTCTCGCCGGTGCAACTGGGCAAATGGCTGGTTCTATTCTGCGACGAGATCAATTTACCCGACATGGATAACTACGGAACGCAACGCGTGATCTCGTTCTTGAGACAGCTCGTGGAGCACAGAGGCTTTTATCGAACCAGCGACCAGGCCTGGGTCACTTTAGAAAGAATACAGTTTGTCGGTGCTTGCAATCCTCCGACAGATCCGGGCAGAAAGCCGCTGAGCCACAGATTCTTGCGACACGTTCCAGTGATCTATGTCGACTATCCGGGAGAGACTTCGTTGAAGCAGATCTACGGTACATTTACTCGCGCCATGCTTCGGTAAGGACTGTTCTCTCTCAATTTATAACGTTCACGTGGTACGCCACAGAAAGGTGAAAGGTTCTATTATGTTTTATTATATTGTCTTACAGATTAACACCTTCATTGAGGGGCTACGCGGAGTCATTGACGAATGCAATGGTAGAGTTCTACCTGGCTTCACAGGAGAGATTCACTCAGGACATGCAACCTCATTACGTGTATTCCCCGCGCGAGATGACCAGATGGGTCCGAGGAATTTGCGAAGCTATCAGACCTCTCGATAACCTGTCGGTTGAAGGACTCGTGCGACTGTGGGCCCACGAGGCTCTTCGCCTCTTCCAAGACAGATTGGTGGAAGACTCCGAAAGAGCTTGGACAAACAAGAACATAGACACCGTCGCTATGAGACACTTCATGAACGTCGACAGAGAGAAAGCGCTGGCCAGGCCCATTTTGTACAGCAATTGGCTATCCAAAGACTACGTGCCGGTGAACAGGCAAGAGTTACGTGACTACGTCAGGGCAAGATTGAAAGTGTTCTACGAGGAAGAATTAGACGTGCCTTTGGTACTGTTCGACGAAGTTCTCGAACACGTTCTACGAATTGACAGAATTTTCCGTCAGCCTCAGGGACATTTATTGCTGATCGGTGTCTCTGGCGCTGGTAAGACAACTCTGTCCAGATTCGTTGCGTGGATGAACGGTTTATCGATATTCCAAATAAAGGTATGAAACTTCAGTTTGTAAGAAACGAAGACTCTCTGAATGTTCATTAACCGTCGGTTTCATTTCAATAGGTGCACAACAAGTACACCGGCGAAGACTTCGACGAGGATTTGCGACAAGTACTGAGACGTTCCGGTTGCAAGGATGAGAAGATAGCGTTTATACTCGACGAATCGAACGTGTTGGATTCCGGGTTCCTCGAGCGCATGAACACGTTGCTGGCGAACGGAGAGGTGCCAGGACTGTTCGAGGGCGACGAATATACCACGCTGATGACGCAGTGCAAAGAAGGAGCGCAGCGCGAGGGTCTGATGCTGGACTCCAACGAGGAGCTGTACAAGTGGTTCACTGGTCAAGTTATGAAGAACTTGCACGTGGTGTTCACCATGAATCCCAGTACAGACGGTCTTAAAGACCGGGCCGCGACGTCGCCCGCTCTGTTCAACAGATGCGTGTTGAACTGGTTCGGTGACTGGTCCGACGATGCGCTTTTCCAAGTTGGAAAAGAATTCACCAGTCGCGTGGACTTGGAGAGACCAGCGTGGAAGTGTCCCGACTTCTTCCCGTCCGTGTGCTCGTTGATACCGTCGCAGCCGTCACACAGGGACGCCGTGATCAACGCATGTGTGTACGTGCATCAGACGTTGCACAAAGCCAACGCGAGGCTCGCGAAACGCGGCAGTAGGACTATGGCGATCACGCCGCGTCATTACCTCGACTTCATCAATCATTTCGTGAAGCTGTACCAAGAGAAGAGGAGCGACCTGGAGGAGCAACAGTTACATCTGAACGTCGGTCTGAGCAAAATCGCGGAGACGGTGGAGCAGGTGGAAGAAATGCAGAAGAGCTTGGCCATCAAATCTCAGGTGAACTGCTCGCGACGTTCACTCCACTTTCTGCTACAAAGATCTTCCTTTTCTCATGGATCTCTGTTGTACAGGAGCTGCACGCCAAGAACGAAGCCGCCAACGCGAAACTGAAGCAAATGATTATGGACCAGCAAGAGGCGGAAATGAAGAAGCTGCAGAGTCAAGAGATTCAACTGCAATTGTCAGTGCAAACGTTGGCTATCAATCAGAAGAGGGACGATGTGATGGCCGACCTGGCGCAAGTCGAACCGGCTGTCATCGACGCGCAGAACGGTGGGTATTGTTCGCGTTTATTGTATATTGTCATTGTTTCACGTTCTCGCGACGATTGCGGAAAGACTCGGTTTCTCGACGAGTGTCCGCAATCGTCGGTGATCCGTTACATTTTGAATGTACCGAGAAAAACACATGCCACCTTGCGCTGAAACGTTTCCGATGAGTGTAGCTGTCAAGGGGATTAAGCGACAGTATCTAGTCGAAATTCGTTCGATGGCGAATCCGCCCAGCATCGTAAAGGTGGCTTTAGAATCTATATGCCTGTTGCTCGAAGAGAATGCGACCGATTGGAAACAGATACGCGCCGTCATTATGAAGGATAGTTTCATTCCGACCATCGTCAACTTCAACACAGAGAACATCACGTAAGGGAACAATTATCTAGGGCCTGCTGAATGTTCGGAACTACGTTACTCGGAAAACTCATCTGCTAGGCAAAAACGATTCTATAACCGCTTCAGATATATGTATGTTATTACATGTCCCTTGGCTATCTATATACCTATACAATTCATCCGCGCGCGCGCGAGTTCTTGCGAACACAAAGAGCATCTCGTTTCTGGTTTAACACTAAACGTACCAGCACTTAAGATACAACTATCTCTAAACCAGTGAAATTATCAGTTATAAAATAAAATAAAAATTTTTAATAGAAACTTAAACAAAAGAACAGACAGAAACTGATAAACTGATTAATAGGACAATATAAGAATTGATTAAGAAAGAATTGATAGAAAGTCAAATGAACAGAAAATAGACAATTTTTCATCAAATTTTAAAATCGGTCATTCGACCGGTCGCGGTACGGTTAGCGTTAAAATCTGGTTCATTTCTAAGCTCATTCGATGTTGCTCCTTGCGGAGAACCATAAGGACACGCGACACGCGGATATTGTGTCTACCATTGTGTGAATAACTTTCTAGGTCGGCCAGACTGATGCGCAGCCCTGTGAAGCTTGTCTCTCGTATAACTTTTGTTTCTTCTATAATAACTTGTCTAATTTGCACCATGCCTGCTATTTGTTATTCTCCACTGTATTATATGAAATTCGTTTCGTTTTTCTCGGTGTAGCGGTGAAGTCGATAAAGAAACAACATTTAGTCGAAGTTCGGTCCATGGCAAATCCGCCAGCTATCGTGAAGGTCGCGTTGGAGTCTATCTGTTTATTGCTTGGTGAAAATGCCAGTGATTGGAAATCGATCCGTGCTGTGATCATGAGGGACAATTTTATCAATACTATTGTCTCTAATTTCAGTACCGAGGATATTACGTAAGCATGCTTTCAATGTTCTCTTTCCTTGACGAACGATCGAATTCCTTGACCGAGGGGATCAGTGAACACTGTCCGTTTACACGAGAGTCCTTCCCGTACTTTTATTGTTCAAACGAGAAGAAACATTATTATTTATTATAATGTACGCCTCGAGCCTAACGTGTACCACTAATACTCGTTGTATGAGTGTACAACTAATCTCTGTGCTTGCTGATCTCAAACCTAAATTTTCGTTTGTGTAAATTAAAGCGAGGGGCGGGGGGCGAACAAAGAGAAACAATTTCAACTTTTTGAAATTCACGAATCCACTACTGTTGTTAATATTTATTTCTCGCAGCATGACGCGAACGACACTTAACGTCGATTTATTGTTACTAACCGAGATTACATGTGTGATGCGATAATTAAAAATACTATTTCAAGTTCTGGGTGTTCGTTCGTTAACCAAGCATACCGAAACCGTGATTGAGAATAATTGAACGCTTCCTCACGATTGATCCGTTGTATCTAGGGACGAAGTTAGAGAAAAGATGAAGAGTCGATACTTGAGCAATCCCGATTATAACTTTGAAAAAGTCAACCGAGCCAGCTTGGCTTGCGGGCCTCTCGTTAAATGGGCTACCGCGCAGGTAATTATCATCGGTCGAAACTGTATGTTCTGGTCTTGCGAGTAACGAGAGGGTGTTCATTTTTAATGTTAAACAATTTTAGATCGAGTACGCGGATATGTTGAAACGCGTCGAGCCGTTGAGGGAAGAGCTCTATTCTTTGGAACGACAGGCCGAAACGAATAAACAGAAGGGCGAAGAAGTGAAGAATTTGATCACGCAAATGGAGCAGAGTATAGCCTCGTACAAGGAGGAATACGCTCAGTTGATTTCTCAGGCGCAAGCCATCAAAGCTGATTTGGAGAGTGTTCAGGCGAAAGTGGATCGTTCCATTGCTTTACTGAAGTCGCTGGTCATCGAAAGGGAACGATGGGAAGCCACCAGCGAAACCTTCAAGAGCCAGATGTCTACCATCATTGGGGATGTTCTATTGTCCTCCGCTTTTCTGGCTTATGCAGGATATTTCGATCAACACGTAAGCATTCTGTGGTGTCTAACCCTTTGCTTTCTGCAGTTTTTCACTAGAAGTATTTGAACATTTGATGATGAGGCAAAGACGGTATTTTGTGAAATTAACTTGAAGAGAAATTATGCATCGAGGAACAAAGCTATTTTATTTCAATATTTTTCAAATTGATGCATTATATGTAGTGTAATATTAAATATCAAATTTTATAGCTTTACTGTATGAAATCAAGTGAAGCTATCTTATTTCAATATTTCTCAAATTGATGCATCATATGTAGTATAACATTAAATATCAAATTTTATAGTTTTACTGTATGAAATCAAGTTAAGCTATTTCAATATTTTTCAAATTAATGCATTATATGTAGTGTAATATTAAATATCAAATTTTATAGTTTTACTGTATGAAATCAAGTGAAGCTATTTTATTTCAATATTTCTCAAATTGATGCATTATATGTATAGTGTAATATTAAATATCAAGTTTTATAGTTTTACTGTATGAAATCAAGTGGTGGCAAAGAGCTAATAATATGATATACTTTCCTTGAAAGAAAAATAACAAAACATTGATTTGTTACGTTCGTTTATTTGCAGTACCGACAAAATCTATTCAGCACCTGGTGTCAACATTTACACCTAGCAAATCTACAATTCCGAGCAGACATTGCGAGAACCGAATACCTCTCGAACCCCGACGAGCGGCTCAGATGGCAAGCAAATGCTCTACCGACAGACGACCTCTGCACCGAAAATGCTATTATGTTGAAGCGATTCAATAGATACCCGTTGATCATAGATCCGTCCGGTCAAGCAACCGAGTTTATAATGAACGAATTCAAGGACCGTAAAATTACGAAGACCAGCTTCTTGGATGACTCGTTTAGAAAGAATCTGGAAAGCGCGCTGCGCTTCGGTAATCCTCTGTTGGTACAAGACGTCGAGAATTACGATCCTATACTGAATCCTGTATTGAACAGAGAATTAAGGAGAACAGGTGGACGAGTATTGATCACTCTTGGTGATCAAGACATCGATCTCTCGCCATCCTTCGTCATTTTCTTGTCCACGAGAGATCCAACGGTCGAATTTCCGCCAGACATTTGTTCTCGCGTTACCTTCGTCAACTTCACTGTTACCAGAAGCTCGTTGCAGAGTCAGTGTTTGAATCAGGTGCTCAAAGCTGAACGGCCAGACATTGATGAGAAACGGTCTGACCTATTGAAACTGCAAGGTGAATTCCATCTGCGACTGAGGCAACTCGAGAAGTCTTTGCTGCAAGCGCTGAATGACGCCAAAGGAAAGATTCTCGATGACGACTCGGTGATTACCACCCTGGAGACACTGAAGCAAGAAGCAGCCGATATTAGTAAGAAGGTCGAAGAGACGGACAAAGTAATAGCAGAAATCGAAACGGTTTCTCAGCAGTACATGCCTCTGTCTCAAGCCTGCTCGAACATGTATTTCACAATGGACAGCTTGAATCAAGTACACTTCCTCTATCAGTATTCTCTGAAGATGTTCCTGGACGTTTTCACGTCCGTGTTATCTCAAAATCCGAGGTTGTTCAATATATCGGACTACACGCAGAGGTTATCGGTAATCACCAGCGACTTATTCTCAGCCTGCTACGAGCGAATTGCACGTGGAATGTTGCACACCGATAGATTGACTTTCGCGTTGCTCCTGTGCAGAATACATCTGAAAGGAATCACCGCGGAGTCGACGTACGACAGTGAATTTACATTCTTCCTGCGCGGCAAAGAGGGCGTTCTGAACGTCCGAGGACCTCTTCTGCCCAACTTGAGTTCCGAACAGCAAGAAGCCATGATGCGTTTGAGCCTTAGGCTGCCGGCTTTCAAGAAGTTGTCGGAGAAGATTCAGGAGAACGAAGAGTTCAACTCGTGGCTGCAGTCGTCGACACCTGAAACCTGCGTGCCAAAACTCTGGGACGAAGAGAAGCCCCTAACACCGACAGGTACAGCTATGCACCAGTTGCTGGTGATACAAGCGTTCCGGCCGGACCGCGTGATAGCCGCGGCGACTTTGGTCATCACTTGTGCCTTGGGTGAATCGTTTATGGCTGCCGCAGAGGCGGAACTCGACTTTGCCTCTGTCGTCGAGAACGAGTTGAAGGCCACCGTGCCTGCTCTGCTGTGTTCAGTGCCTGGCTTCGATGCCTCTGGCAGAGTCGACGACCTCGCTGCCGAATCGGGCAAGCAGATAGCCAGCATCGCGATAGGATCCACAGAAGGATTCAATCAGGCTGACAGAGCGATAAACATGGCTGTCAAAGCCGGCAGATGGGTATTGTTGAAGAACGTTCATTTGGCGCCGCAGTGGTTGGTGCAGCTTGAAAAGAAACTGCACAGTTTACAACCACATGCTAGCTTCAGGCTCTTCCTAACTATGGAGATCAGTCCAAAGGTACCTGTCAATCTCCTCAGAGCTGGTAGAATATTCGTGTTCGAACCACCGCCAGGCATCAGAGCAAACCTGTTGCGAACGTTCAGCACTGTGCCTGCGTCAAGAATGATGAAGGCCCCTAACGAAAGGGCTCGCCTGTACTTCCTGCTCGCATGGTTCCACGCTATCGTCCAGGAACGTCTTCGTTACGCGCCGTTGGGATGGGCCAAGCACTACGAGTTCAACGAGAGCGACCTGAGAGTAGCTTGCGACACTTTGGACACGTGGATAGAGACCACTGCGATGGGTCGAACCAACTTGCCGCCGGAGAAGGTGCCTTGGGATGCTCTGGTGACGTTGCTCTCTCAATGCATATACGGTGGCAAGATAGACAATGATTTCGATCAACGTTTACTGGCATCCTTCCTTCGGAAACTGTTTACTCCGAGATCATTCGAGGCGGATTTCGCGCTAGTCGCCAACATCGACGGTATACAAAGCAGCCAAAGACACATTACCATGCCGGATGGTACCAGGCGGGATCATTTCCTGAAGTGGATCGAATCCCTGTCGGATAGACAGACTCCTTCTTGGCTCGGGTTACCGAACAACGCTGAGAAAGTGTTGCTTACAACAAGAGGAACGGATTTGGTATCCAAGCTGTTGAAGATGCAACAGCTGGAAGACGAGGACGAACTGGCCTATTCTAACGAGGAATCCTTGGATACACCTAGGGAGGCAGAGGCTGACGGTCGGCCGTCGTGGATGAGAACGTTGCACAATTCGGCTTCAACGTGGTTGCAACTGCTTCCAAAGAATTTGCCGACTTTGAGAAGAACCGTGGAGAACATAAAGGATCCGCTCTACAGATATTTCGAGAGGGAAGTTAACAGCGGTGCCAAATTACTGCAGGATGTGATTCATGACTTAGAAGACGTTGTCTTGATCTGTCAGGTATTTCATTATCTCTCGTCGACTTGCTGTTACCGTAATGGATTTATAACTTTGCTCACTTTCTGTCTGTGTAGGGTAAGAAGAAGCAGACCAATTATCACAGAACCATGTTATCGGAGTTGGTGAAAGGTATTTTACCTGTTGGTTGGAGGCGATACACCGTTCCAAGAGGATGCACCGTTATACAGTGGATAACAGATTTTAGTCACAGGGTGTCGCAGTTGCAAGAAGTATCACGGCTAGTGTCTCAAGGAGGAGCTAAAGAAATCAAGGTTCGTTCAGAATTTCATATCTCAATTCTATTGCTTATTTGTACACCTATTTATTTATGATCTAAATCATTGTGATCTTGTTGTGTCTTAGAGTTTCCCCGTTTGGCTTGGAGGATTATTGAATCCAGAAGCATACATTACAGCAACGAGACAATGCATAGCGCAAGCAAATAGCTGGTCCCTGGAAGAGCTTCAGTTGGACGTGACTATAGGAGACGGTGATAACATTGCAACCGACGACTGTTCGTTCGCAGTGACTGGCTTGAAGTTGCAAGGAGCGCAATGCAAGGATAATCAGTTGTACTTGACCTCGACCATTATGACTGATCTACCAGTTACCATGTTGAGATGGATACGATCCTCCACCGACGAGGTCCGAAAGGGGAAACTATCTTTGCCGGTATACCTTAACAGCACCCGTACCGAGTTGCTCTTTACTGTCGATTTAAATATTGCTCCTAGTCAAGATCCTCACAGTTTCTACGAGAGAGGAGTCGCTGTTCTTACATCCACCGCTTTGAATTAATACATTATAAACTAGTTAATTATTTCGAGAGCGAGCCTCTCGAATAAGTACTCCTGTATCGAAATCAGATATTTAATGACTAACGTACCGAGATACACTTAATTTACAATAATTCTAATTTGTGAAACAGCGTTCAGGCATGGGCAAACCACGATATTCCCTTGGTCCTAATGCTCTCCAAACATAGCATAAGATTTCACGAAGATATTTATTTATCTGTCCGTTTCTAATTATTTATGAACCAACGATTTTAGTTGTACACTGAATTTTCATTTAATTAGTACTCTAGATGTTCACGTAGTTACGCGTACGATTATTAGTTGGATAACCGTTTGCCCATGACACCTGACGTAAATCTCTAACGTAATAAATATACATTATATATGTTTAAAGAAAATTATTTAATGCATCGAAAGGCTTTCTTTCTGCACGCTATGCAAACGTGCAATGAAAAGAATCGTTCGATCCGACGGTTAGCATAATAGAGGAAGATGCAAGACGTCTGTCAGAGGATTGTCGTTTCGATAACGAGGTTGTAATATACATAGTTTATTTAGTTTTGTATACGTTCGAAAATGAAAGGCTTTTTGTAACAAAGTTACATTACGTTTGCTTAAGTGTAAGTACTAAAGTACCATTAGAATTCATATTATTTCAATGGCATCTAATAAAAAAAAAACAAACTTACTGTGCTACACGAGCGTCAAATACGTACCCTTTTCCTTCTTTCTTTCTACCCTCGAGCGAAAGTGGCAATTGTTATTTTCGTTAACTGTGCGACGCCAGATACGATGGTATTACATAATATGAAATCGAAAATATCGTTCGCGTTTTTTATCTTTCCTCGAATTCCATCGATTTGAACGAAATTGGTCGGAATTTACAAAAAAACATAAAAACTTTATTATGGTCCATAATATCAGGTATAGCAGTTACACGTATAAGGTTTAGTTTAGAATATTTGCGATACTATAACTACTTAATTCTCTATGTAATAATACACTTTTTACATTATTCTTTTCTTTGCCGGATTTCAGTTCGCCATAATCGTATTGCTGTGTACTGCTTAACGTACATATATCGCTGTAAAGTACATACATATATATTTTTTTTATTTATTAAATGAACATCGCAGTATTTATACTTGCATCGATCGAAAACATGCGTAATTTTCGATGAATGCTGGACGGACTATGTACTTGTAGTATGTTTCTGTGTATATATGTGTGTGCGTGTGTTTGTATATATGTACGTGTGTACGTGTCTGTACGTATGTATGCGGTTGCAACACAAACCGGCCATTACTGTTAATGAACGATACGCTGAACAAGCAAACTCCAGTTAAAATGATTCGCTAATATGCTATATACATCATACATAAACACGTTAAGAACTACTAGGAGACTATAGCGATATATCTTCATCGACGTTTCATCTGCACAGTCTCAAATACAAATTGTCGAAATCATTGTAGACAAAGTACACCGGTTCGATGCGAGTTAAACATTAATGAATTTCGACGTGCGCGAAATTATCAAATCGCACAGGCACGAACTAAATATTCGAGGTGCTCGAACTTCGAAATGCTAAACGAGTACGTTGAACGTTTCACCCCTTGATCTTTGTTCGATTTCCGTTGACGCCTGGCAAAAATTATCGTGACACATAGAACGTTAAGATTATGCGGTTGCGAGTTAACAAGAGAAAGAAGTACTGCGTTCAGTCTGAAAGAATGACATGATACTCTCGTTTCTCGATCGATGTCGTTCGATCGAAGGCCAATCCGTTTCTGCGTTTCGTGATTTCCACGGTTTCATACGATCAGCGCGAATTACTAACAGATCAGAGTAGATCAGCGGAACACAAAGATGGGACGAAGTAATTTCATCAAGATCATACAAGGGGAGACCATCAATTTATCACGACACGCGGTGTCGCCGGAATCCATCAGAGTAATCGTACCCGGACTCTTTCCTCGAGTAAAACTGAAAATAAGGACACAGTCTATATCACAGAAACGGAGTGGTCCGTTTCCACGGCAGTCTTTTTATCGTTACTATCGATGTTAGCCTGTTCATCGGAGGAGACTAGAGACACGTCCTTTGGGAGGACTAAGGATTCTTCGCCAATCGGTGCAGCGGCCTCGACTAGATTCTCGACGGAGGCCGCCGTTGTCGGCTCGTCGTGGCAAAAACTTCTACGCAAGGACTGCTGGGTTCGCGTGGTCCCTCTTCTAATACTACTTCGTAGCAGATTCGCGACGTCGACCGCGGTCAGATTCGAGCTGCTCGACGAACCGGTGGTAGACGGTCTGGTCCGAGTCCTCTCGAGCGTCGAGTGCATCCGCTCGATGGAACATCCGACCGTGGTAGCGATCCTCGTCGTTCTGTCTATTGTATTAGGCCTGTGTCTTTCGAGAGCGTCGTTTCGCATCGTAGACGCAATGCCGACACTGCAACTTCCGCCGTTGTCGCCGCCGCCGCCGCCGTTGCCGTCGCCATCGTCAACGGTCTCAGTCCTTCCGTCGCTCACGTGAATCGCCACATCCTGCGATTGCCTTCCCTGATTCATCTCGACGAGGACCGTTGCATAATCAGGGGGCGGAGGTTGCAACGCCGGTCTCTGCCTTGGGGCGCTGCTTTCACCGAGCACGCTCGCTATTCGCCTGACGCTTCTCCGGAAACTTTGCCGCAGCATCTTGGCGATCCTTGCCCCGGTCGCAGTAGTGTAACTAGGGGGAGGCGTGTACTTTGGCGGTGGATCCTCGAACGGTACTTCCGTGGTCGCAGGCACAATACCATTCCCGTGGATGCTGGTGCTTGTGTCGCCGCCTATGTGCGTCTGAGCATCTCGCGGATCGTCTGTCTCCAAGGAGGGTCTGTACAGCAGCTGGATCCTCTGTGGAGCGATCATTTCTTGGTTAATAGAAAGATAGGGTCGTTAAGACGATGTTCACGACAATTGAAAGCAAGTGCGCTACTCTTTGCGTTAACTCGTTCACTACCAGCGCTTGTTTCGTTGACGGTCTCAATTATATTTTCTTCAATACAATAAATCTTCTAAACAAAGTATTAGAAAGATGAAACGAGTCATTGAGTTCCTAAGTATAATGTAGCTTATCATTAATAACAGTATCTATAGGATTAATTTCATTTTTATCATATAAAATATAGGATTACGGTGACAAATGTGTGACGCTGGTAGCGAACGTGTTAATGTTTATAGGAATCAACCATCAGACTTACGCCGTTACACTGTTCACAGTGATTTACGTTAACTTCCACTTGATTGCTCTACGGTTAGCACAAACAGAATAAACGTGTTTTGATGTTAGCGAATGAACGTAGCTGGTTAGAGAGCAACGCTAAGATCCAAGTGACGCGTTACGGTCCGATACGACCATACGGATCCTTGAGAGGAATTTCGAGAAATACATTGAAGCTTACGTCGAATATATCCGGAGGACCGTTGTTCAAGTATCGGCACGTCTGAATGATAGCCACCGCCGGTATGGTTAATATCGGTATCAGTTGGATAGCAGCCCCTAGTTGCCTCGCCCACACCGACCAGTAATCTTTGGTAGTGCGTCGATAAGAGTAAAGTTCTCGGAACCCGGCGCTCTTAAATACCGTGATACTAAGTACCTGTTTGGTTGGAAATCATTGATAGCATTATACGCGTTCGGCTTCGGTTCATGCGCATGCACGTAGCCATGAAGATACAAACCATCAGGATAACGGGCAGCACGACGTTCCAGGTGAAGGACAAGAGAGGTCCGGCCCAGTGCCTGAGACATCGACCAGTCGGTGGAAACAATTCGGCAACGACCGCCTCGCCGCTGTGGGGACGACCTCGCACCGCGAACACAGCACCCACTTGCACCAAATACAGGATCATTATCCACCATGAGCCGCCGATCGTGTAGTCCAAGTAATATACCACGTGTATACCCAGCTGCGAACAAAGTAAAGAAGTCTGTAAAGAAGAGAAGAGGAACAGTCTCCGGCAGAGAAACGATTTGCTGAACGAGGAAGTCAATGGGTATTTACATTGGGGATTGCATCGATAGTTTCTATCAACTATCAACCACGTGGCTATTTCTCGACTGCTCACGACAGAAGGGACTGTGTCGAGACACTGGTTTTTATGTCCCTCACTTGAATGTCGAGAAATAGCACGTTATCCTTAATATAGCCGGGGTATCGAGTCAACGTGGTATGCGGGATAAACATGTACACGCCGGATTCCTTGTTCACGGAGTCCGGATTCGTTTTATCGCGACCGACGGTCTTCACGAACTTCCTCACGTCGTTGGCGGGGTTCTCTTGGTTCCTCAATATGACCGTGGCCTTCAGAATGCACGGCCAATCCAATAGCGGGTCCCACTCGCCGTTTTCCACGCGGAGGCATCCGATAACGTGTCGGCCCCTCCACTGTCCTATGCCATTCAAGAATAACTCTAATCTCAACGTGTATCCGTACTCCTTGTTGGAAAATCGTGGACTATAAAGGGCACACTCGCTCTCCTTTGCGTCGGACATTTTCTCCTTATACCGGTCGATCCTCCACAATAGTCGACCGTTGGTCGGGAATTGATCGCGTTCGCAGGTGCATTCGAGGAACTCGGTCGGGTTCAGTTTTGCGCTATCTCTGATCAATTCCTCGAGGTATTTCAGGTTCTCCTTCGCCTGAAATTTCAATCCCTTAACGCGAATCGACTGGTCGCTCACGATCGCCGATTGCCTCCTCGCTTCTTCTTCCAGCGCGTCGATCTTCTTCGCCAGCGCCTTCTGCTGCTCCGCGAATTCGTTCGAGCTTTTGCAACGCATCTCTAGCTCCAGCTTCAGATCGTGAATCAGCTGCTGCTGCTTCCGCCATGTCTCCGTCAGACGCGCGGTCTCCTCGGTTAGGAATGACTTCAAGTCTTTCAGCTCCGTCCAGTAGTTACTCGAGACACGGTCTTGCCTGCTCCGTTGAGCGGACAGTTCTTCGTGCAGCAGGCTCAACTGTTCCGAGATCTGTTGGAAACCGATGCTGGTGTGTCGCTGGATGTCATCGGAGCTCAGTTCCAAGTCGCTCAGGCGTTCGTTCAGCGCAGCGTCGGGTCTCGTCTCCGTGACACGGAGTCGCAACGCGTCGATCGTCTCTTGCTGAGAGTGCAACAGTCGCATGCACCCGACCAGCTTGTCCTGGAGACTTCTGCGCTCCCTTTCCTCGTTGTAAATAGCGGATCGAAGCAACGTCAGCGCGGAGAACACCTTGTTCCTCCACAGAGAGTCCTGAACGTTGTCCGGGATCCGACTGCTCCTCCTTGAGGCATTTCTGTCGCAGGACTTCCGGTGTTCTTCCATATTTTTCCGAGTCACGTAAGCGCGACAGCCGTACGGGCATTCCTCCAACACCGAACCGCAGTGTTTCACGTGTTCGAAGAGGTACCTCTCCTCCAGAAACTCGTTGCAAAAATAGCACGGTATGCTCCGGCGTACCACGGAATCGAGTCGATTACTCATCTTTGGTAACGACGGAACCGATGACTCCCACGATACTGGTGAACCGAGTAATCGGGTTAGCGGCGAGGGAGATAACCGTTATCGAAGTTATCTTAAATAAAATATTGCCGCGAGGCTTGGTCGATAAGCGAGCAGCGATACGGGTTCATTTTTAATCGTACAGAGATGGTGGTCGGCCAAGTTGATTCACCGACGCGTGACGAGTGTAAGTTCCGTTTCGACGTAATGTCGGCTTACAGGAAATCCAGGACAGCTGAATAAAAGATACAGGTGCGTTAGTCGTTCTCACCTCCGTAGCCATGGGCAGTCCCAGTATGTAGCCGCAGGCGCAGCTGAAGAAGGTGATGGTGGTTTCCCATAGTTTCATCATTTTCGCGTTGATAGCCATAATGCCGGTTATCACGCAGTGCCATATCGCCAACTAGAATGCCGGGAAGATTCATTGGACTCGGTCGACTCGTTTCGACGTCGGTTTAAATTCGATTCACGTACCTGTTGAGCTATTCCGAAGAGAATGAGGACAAAATAAAAGAGTACCGCCCAAAACGGGGATACCTGCTCGGTCCCCAGCAGCGCCAATGTCGCCGGAACTAGTTCCGTGGAGAGTCTCAGAGCTTGGTAGCCAGATTCGACGTTGAAATCCGCGCCGGGACGAGTTACGCGTTCTCCGACGATGAACGACGCGTGGGCCATAAATCTCTCCGGCGTGCTGCTGTATCCTGGAGGGGCGGGCTGGTTCACGGGCCTCACGAATATGTACGACGATATTCTTTCTGAGATAGGAACACGATGATACCTTTAGATAGGAGGTTCTCGGGGAACGTTGCCTCTCGCCCGGCGAAGATCGATCGCGGGGAGAGAAGCAATTAGTTACTCCGGTTCACGAACTTTCCGAGTACCTACCGAACGAACTTGGGATATAAACGTATCCGTGGTGCTTGAGAATCTGCACGCACGTGTTCGCCAAAAAGGCGGCGAGAAATAACACGACTATCGTTAATACTATCACGAGGCTCGTGTCACGTTGCAGGAGATGCTTGTGCTTGTTGTGAGCTGCGATCTGGAAGAGTAACATTTTGAGTGAGCTTCCCGTTTTCCTTGTGGAAACGTATAGTTAACTTGCGGTCTTTAAAGTACACGCTTGCAACATGTGAAGCTAAATTGCACGTCGACTGCTTAAACGATAGAAAAAAAACTATACACTGACCACTTGTTATTCAAGTAAATCATTCGTTTGCAACTTAGCACTCCAAATATGAAAATTTCATCTCGTCAAAATGTCGACATTCGTCAAAAGTTCCTTTGCACTCGAAAGTTTTTCACTGGAAATATTCAAGACTTTCCGAAGAGATATAAACGACATTGTCCGAAACGAATTTAACGATAATTCACAGATAAATTAAGCAACGAAGCTATTTTATTTAAATATTTCACATAATACAAAGTTTAATGTAAAGTACTAAATATTCAACTTCATAGTTTCCCTGCATTAAATCAAGTGGTCACTGAGAGTCATCTCTAGAGTGCAAAGGGTTAACACGTTGAACGCCGCTAGTTAGTTTCAAAGAATATCATCTTTGTCTTGTCAAAAAAATAAATATTTCTAGTGAGAAACCGAGTGCAACGGGTTGATTGAGTGAACTATAGTAATTCGATTTAGTTGAGTGTCATCGGTGACGGCATTCAACGTGTCAATTCGTCACACCTGATCCTGCGGACGAGGATTACCTGCATCGCGGCTGCGCCGAGTAATCCCCAGGTAAGGAAAACCTCGATGGACGCTGCCACCCAGGACTTGCCGTTGATGAAGAATTCCGTGCCGACGGTGGCGGGGAAGAGCTGATGTATAGAGCCCGGTGGCGTCAGGCCGAGCAGTTTCGTGCAGAGCACCAGAGTGCCGAACACGGGTACCAGCGTGAAAACGTAGACCACCTTCCCATATGATCTTAAACCTGAAAGAATCATCGAACATCGCGTTACGCTTCGATCGAAAGCTAGAAAACCACCAGCGTTAACCTTTTAGGTACAAAAACCGTTCATGACGATTTGCGACATTATTCCCAAGTAGAGTTCCAAATGAATAAATTATAATTTCTTTACATATTTTCCGAATTGGTGCGACCCACGAGAGCCACTACAGTGGCGTACCGTACCTAAAAGGTTAACGAGTCCGATCGAACCGCGATACCTTTGCTCAAAGAGACGAACACGATCATCCACACGACGGCCAGATTGAAGGCGACTTGAAATTTCAGCGTGACGACGCCGGGATCCGACTCGTTCAGGTGGTGTCTCTGCAACACCACTCCGCTGAAATAATCCGGCACCGTTTCGTAGAGTTTATACAGGGTGGAGGAGGCGTTCTGCGCGGGCCTGTCCTCCCTGTACAGGGACAACGGTTCCGCCCACCGGTACTTGTCCTGTTTCGTGATGAACGAATCCCTGGAAAAGCGAGAGACGTATTGCCGGTTCCCACCGTTCGTTCGTCGTCTACCGGTCGCGTAGAAAGGGGACGTAGAAAGAAAACGTACACGTACCTAAAGTACACGAACATCCAGGACACGCCGACGATACTGTAAATACCGATAAACGCTTGTGCAGTTAGGAGAGCTATACCGACACCCTGGAAAAGGGGAGAGATCTTCCACATGTCTACGGATCCAGCCGCTAATCTTTGCCCGAGGCAGACGTGTAACGTTAAAAGCGGAATGCCCAATACCAGAGACAAAATCAGGAACTGTACAATGAAATTCGCTGGGGAAAAGAAAGAAGAAAAAACACGGTCATTCGAATCGTTTGCCCCCGGGGTGACGCGCTCTCGTCTACGCCGGTTACTCACCTCCGAATTGTACGCTAAGGATAGAGAATCTACTTATATTAAAGAGGCCAAGAGTGCAACTGAGGCAGGCTAACGCAGGACTAAGAGCATGCGGCCATTTACCCAATGGATTCGCGTCCTCGTCTTCGTCCTCGCCTCTATCCCCGTCCCTGTCGACGTCTCTTTGCCTTTCGCATATCCTGGACAAAAGGGAAATCATAGATTAATGTCGAGAGATCCGCGGGAACTCGTAGGAACTCAACGAGATCGGAACGTCGCCGTGGTTCGTCTAGATTCGACGAAAATTCAGCTGTAAACTGTGTTTCGCTGGATATTAGTTGAATCGTTCGTGTTCATATTAGCGACTGACGCTTCTGAATGACTATGAAACAATCGTAACGTACAAGATAACCGATGTGAAACGCGAAAGGTTAGTAACGTAACTAAGTCGATAATAGTGTACAAACACTGCAACGCCAAATAATTAACCCTTTGCACTCGAGGCGACTCTAAGTCAGTCAAACCTATGAAGTTGAATATTAAGTAAATTAAACTTTGTATTGCTACGTGAAATATTTAAATAAAATAGCTTTGTCGCTTAATTTATCATCGCTTCAAACTAATTTAACGATAATCCACAGATATCGTCTATATCTGGTCGAAAAATATTGAAAATTTCCAGTGAAAAGTTTTCGAGTGCAAAGAGTTAATAGTTCCGGCGTTTCTTTGCTACGAAAGAACTCTACCGGAAATTAAGATTTTCTTGGCACTTAACGCGTTCAACCGTTCGCGTTCATTCTTATCAATTCCTCTAACCGTATCTTCGAGTAGTCGCTCGGAGTTGTATCGATTCCCGCGAAACGAAATTACACGTAACTCGACTGCGTTCGTCATCGTTACCGATCGATCGAGGATTAAGCGTTCACGATAGATCCAACGTGGAACGTCGAATCGCGAATCGCGGCGCGTACGCGCGGAAGAGCTCTCGAGCGCGTCGATAACGGATGAAGGACCACCGCGCGACGATGGTACCGTTAACGCGGAATAGAGATCGGTCTCGCCGCTTCTGCACGGATCCACCTTAAACGCGACTGGCGACCGGGCCCCGTTTCGCTCGGGGAATACGGAATCGTCTCCGTCGCGATCGCAGGACTCGCCGCGACGGACTGAATTATTCAAATCATTCGATTCGATTCACCGTTCCGTCGATCGCCGCGCGACCAACCGCCTTTCGCGGTTAACGCGCCGACTGCCGCGAGAATTTCGAGTTTCGCGTGGTAACACGTGCTCTTCCGTGACAACGGCGAATGCTATTAATAATGATTATTAACGCGTCAAGCGCCATGTTAGTCACTGGCGACTGAAGCTTCCGAATGACTAGGAAACAATCGTAACGAGATAACCGATGTGAAACGAAAACGTTTAATAACGTAAGTTGATAACAGTGTAATGTAAACATTGCAACGGCGAATAATTAATTGTTCCTGCTTTTCTTCGGTGCAAAAGAAAAACTCTACGGACGCTTAAGATTTTCGCGCTTAATGTGTTGACCATTTGGTATCACTGTACTCGTATTACACTACTATCTAGCTGCTTGTGTTACTAAATACTTTTCAAATGAATAAAGCACATCTGCTGTTCATACGTATCTACATGAGAATTAAAATATGCGAGAGAAAAAGTCTCGTTAAGAAAGAATAATTTTCATTGTAGTACGTTATAAAATTGGAGATATATCTCTAGTATATCTTCGTAGAAAATCGATGCATGGACTGTTAAAATGAATTTTCTTATAATGGTTTTCAAGGAATTTGAAAGCTCCGATCATCGATGACCGTGACAGTCAACGCAATTCCAAATGACGCGGCGACATGGACAGGTTTTAGAAATTTGTTTCCGAAAATACAAAGGTCAGCCGCGGAACGAATCCCCGCGAAATATGCCGGGAATAGAAATAGAATGTCCCATCGATTAATCGATAAAACTGACCGCTTCTAACGACCACGATATACTTTCCAGCGACGTGTACTAATAATGCACGCGATTAGAGGCACGCGAACGATAGATTCGTCGCGATAATCCCTCCGGTGTTCCGAGTCGTTGCGGATTCCGTATCGTAACGATCGCACAACGGCCGGGGAAAGAAACGCGAAATCGCGCCTCTTTCGAAAGACCGGCCCGTTACCATAGAAAATACGATACAACACATAAGCGTATAACGTGCTTATGTAGCACTTATGTGTACGTAAACGCATAATCGTCGTAGATTTGCCGCGTCACATCTCCAGTATGATAATTGGTCGATGGTTACTCAGCACGGTCACCGTAGTCGGGTAGTAGCGAGGCTTCAAGGCGAAACGTGGCCAATTGGGAGACGATTCCTCGTTTCTAGACGATTGCTAGAAAAGGTAGGTTTCAACGATCGAAACGTACACGCGCGAAGAGGCGAGTTTCACGATTGAATCGTCTACGCGCGGGCAAACACGACGGCGACGTTCAACGGCTCGATCTTTGTAACATAGAACTCGAGCAGACTTTCCTTTTCCTCTAACAAAAAGATTTACCGAGCGAAAATCGTTGATAAGTTTGCATTCGACGATCTAAATGACGTTCAACAGCTCGATCTTTGTAACATAGAACTCGAGCAGACTTTGATTTTCGAATAAAAAGGTTTACCGAGCGAAAATCGTTGATAAGTTTGCGTTCCTCGAGATGAAGCATGACATGGCAAAGTTTTCAAGAATGATACTCCTTCGAGCTCGTCAAACATTCTGATACGCGAGTTCGCTCGGGTTCTGGTCCGAGTGCAGAAGAAATAGAAATTGTTTCCAAGTGCAACTGGTTCGATGCGATGAGAATTACGATCAGATCGTGGGAACGAATGCGATCGGTCTCGAGATGGATAGGCCCGACGAAACGGTTTTCGTCGATCGTTTCGTGAAACGAGAATTCGCGGTGACGCGATCGTCTGCGAAAGACTCATCGGAGGCCGATCACGGTCGCACAGTGCGGTCAAACGGCCGATTTCCGAAGAAAACTCGATAATTTAAAAAGTATGAGTGATACAAATGAATACTTCATACAAAAGATTGTAAGATATAGAGCTGAACACATGGTGATTATATTTCCTTCACATTATGGGGATATTATGAAGTTTTCTCAATGCCAATGTATTCTTCGTTTCAATGCCAATATTATATAAATAGACTAACAGAATGTATTTGCATAAAATTTGTATTTTTTCAATGAAAACCACTCTATGTAGCATTGACTGGTTAGCAACACGTCAGTAACCTTCGATTTTCGTAGTATACAGTCGATTTTTAGGGTTTCGTCCGCGCTGTGCGTCGTTGCGCGACGCATCGGCGTTAAGTGAACTTTAAATAAGTATTGCGACATCGTCGATCCTTCCGCGATCGTCCAATTCGCACCATCCGGTCAGCCGATCCGCCAGCGCGACCTTGATCCGCGTTTATCGGTACCGTTCGAAACTCCCGCCGCCTCTGCGGGTACCTTTCCTCGCGGCGCGGGCGGCGGATCGTAGATTCGGAGCCTTGATCGCGCAACTGCTTAGCTTCAGGGACTTGACTCGATCTCTCAAGGAAAACGAGTCATCGCCGATCGGCAGTTCCCTTCGACTGTATCCGGCAAAAGGTAAACTTCTATCGTCGAATCAAATTAAACGGCTACGAGCGTGCCGCAATAGGCGAAGAGCGAATCGGCCGATCGCAACGTTATAGCCTCGCGCGCGTAATCTTCGTTCATCGGGCAATCGGTTATCGAGCACAAAACACGGAACGGTTACAATTCTTTTTCTCACGCGCACTCTACCGATCTCGAGGAAAGGCCAGATCTTTCTAGACCGGTAGCATCTTACCGGTGTCTTCATCGCTTCGCGTTCTTCAAATTCGAGACAAGGTTCGCGAATGCTGAAATTAACGCTGGAACTACTGTACCAGTTGAAACGACTGATTTCGATATTTTCGCAATTATTTCGAGATTTAGTTCTTCGAATAGTTTATATTATGTTCAATATTATTAATATTGATAATAATCGTTTACTGCTCTCTACGAACTGTCTATTCTTTAACCCTTTGCGGTCCGAAGTGCTCTTAGTTTTTCACGTTGAAGTTCACGTAGCCGTTAGTTCATTCAATTACAGCTTCATATGACGCATTTATTTATTCAAGAATATCTGAGAGTCATTGAAATGTTACCTTTAAATGGTACAATTGTGATACTACAAATAAATATAGAAAAATTGTTAAAACAAGTAGAGGTTGCAATAAAATAGTCGAGTCTGACATAGGACTGCTAAGGGTTAAAATGCATTTCAAATAAAATATAATAATAATGTAGTTATCAAGGAAAAATGCAAAAGAAATTCAAAGTGCAAAGGTCGACTCAATGTCGGGAAACGAAAGGAAACCTGAGACGAAACGTGAAACGAAAGGAGGAAACGGTGAAAGGGACGATCGTACGAGGAGACGACGATCGGTTGGGGAAGACTGATCGGTACCTGATCCGGTGCCTACGTTGGCTACAGTAGAAGTACTGACGGCAAATCGTCGGGTCGTGGTTCATCTTGAACGCATGTCACGACAACGAGATGTCAACGACCTGGGCTCCGTCGACTCCGTATCCACCGTGTCCAGCGATTTTTATTTCCCTCCGATCGCCTCTTCTTTTTCTCTTCGTCCACCTCGCCGGAAGCTGCCTACGCTAAGAGCCGATACGCACAATGGAAAACGATGTACTCCGGTTTTTACCGATCGCCGAATCGGTCCCTTCGAAGTTCTATCCCTTGCCCATCCGAGTCGGAACCTCTCTCGACGTCATCCTCGCGTTAACACGTTAAACGCCGTGTCAGTCATCGATGACTGACACTTCTTAGTTACTTGAAAATCGCAACATGCAGGATAACCGATGTCGAATGATGTTTAACACGTTCGCGGACAGAACAAGTTTTAATGAGCCGCGAAAATGGAAAAAATGCAAATGTACTCCGAGGGTTGAAGTGCATAATCATTTGAGTTGAGACTATGTAGAATTTAATTTATGACAATACTTATAAATTTCAATGTTATCACGACCGCAAACGTGTTAACCCTTAGCACTCCAGATGGTTTTGCAATTTATCAGCAACTGTGAGTAATTTTTATGGTATCTCTAGTGAAAATGAAAAATGATATAACATTTCTTCGATCTTTTAGTTTCCTTCTCAGTACAAAATTTGGATGTGTGGATAATCTAATGATTTTAGGGTAGTTTCTTTGAATCATTGAAATATTTGATATTATAACTGTGCAATATTGGAGCCTACAGAGTTCAAAGGGTTAATACGTTGAATGCTGTACGATTTCACGTGGCAAAGTACACAAAATGGAAGCAATGTAGTATTAAATAATTTCATTGAGTCGTTTGATTATTATTGCACGTTTCTCTTGCCGAATGTTACCGCATTAGGTAACATTATTTGTAATATAGAAGTATTTGCGAATAATGATCATTTAATTGACTGAATTAGAATAATTCGATTTGGTCGGGGGTCACCGGTGACCCCCATAGCATTCACCGTGTTAACCCTCCGTAGACCCGTGTATCTTTCAAGTCACATATCAATATATTCGCATCCTGTAGATTTATTTCATTTTGCACGACAAACTGGTGAATGAAATTAAGTAATTAGTTAAAAAACTTTTATAGGCTTAGGCGTTACAGTTCAAGGTTATTGTAACTTGAAATTACTCAATTATATCTTCTTCAATCCAATAAATCTCCTAAACAGAATATTAGAAAAATGAAACTGAAATGAGTCATTGTGTTCCTAATAGAATTAATTTCATTTTCATTATGTAAAATTTAGTTCTTACAACCGTCACAAATATCTGACGCTGGTAACGAACGTGTTAACCCTTTGCACTCCATAGTTTCTGACTGGAAATACTCAACATTTTCCGACGAGATGTAGTCGACATTGTTCGAAACTAATTTAAAGATAATTCACAGATAAATTACGCAACAAATCTATTCTATTTAAATATTTCACATTGCAAAATGTAATTTTAATTTAAAATACCGAATATTCAACTTCATAGTTTCGCTGTTTCAAATAAAGCGGCGACTGATGGTCACCACTCGAGTGCGAAGAGTTAATAACGTAACGAAGTTGATAATAGTGCACCGCGAGGATCGCAACGCCGAATAATGAATAATTACCCCTGCTTTTCTTCGCCACAAAGGAATAATTCTGCGAAAAAAAAAACGACCATTTTCCTGGCGCTTAACGTGTTAACGATTCTCGAGAAGACACAGAGATCGGCGCAAGAAAATAAGCGACATACCGGTCCCGATCCCGGCTTCAAGGTTCCTACGTCGCAGGTTTAACGAGCCGAGAACAATCGAGTTTCAAAACCGTGCCTCCCAGTCCGGCCGATTTCCAGAAACGATACTATCGTCTCGAACGTCAAACGAGTTTCTTCGATTCGCAATCTTTCTGCTTTCCCGTTCCAGTATCGATATTATCGTCTCGAACGAGTGTTTTTTCTTCTCGATTTGCAATCCTTCTGTTTTCCTGTTCCCTTTCGCTCGTCGTCCTTCCGGCCGGTCGTGTTTCTTCCTCGTTCCCAGAGATGTTCGACGGATCGTCTTATTTTCGCTCTGTATTTGTTACTACCGGTCCCGCGAGTGGGACCGTTTCGCAAACGTTCCTGCGTTCACGTGGCTCGCCGTTGCGACGAACTTCGCTTCCGAACGCACCGTGGGTTTTCCCACGACACCACGGTTCCCAGGGTATGTCGAAGGGGCTCACTTTAAGGCGAATTTTCAAAATATCCGAGTACAATTTACAGACACGATCGCCGAGCGGATAAACACGTCCGACGGTGAGTACGTACACTGGCCGCAATGCGGTTGCCGCGTTCGATCGAAATTCGTCGATCGGCGTGACAACGGTTCACGACGTAGGTTATGTGATACGTGACGAGTATTCTTACTTCTGAAGCCCGTGCTTTTTACGGATCTCGCGTACCGGTTGGATAATCGCGACGGACGATTAACGATTTTCAGACTTTTTCCTCTGAGTTCACGTACGTGACTCCCGACGACACGCGGCGGGTTCTTCAAAGGTGGTACGATCCGCGCTCGACCGAGATCTACCGTCGACTAAAACGACGCTTCGAGCGTAATCCTTGATGGACGGTCACCGACGCTCATCCATTACGTCCCTCCGAATTTCGTCGGATCGGTACGGCAGTGAAGTCGAGCTCGCACGTGGCAGGATGAAGAGCAACACTTGAGTTCCCCGGTGAACATCGCAGCAATTTCTTCGTATGTTGAGTTTTCGATATCGATCGGTAGGTGAGTACTAGTGTCCGAATTCATAGGCGTAGTTCGGGTTCAAACGCCTCGTGACGTCATACATTCCAACTGCTCCTTGCAATACTTCAACGTACTATTGGTAATCGTTATTATTAACAGATGACAGTGTGGATACACTCATAATTAGATACTTGGATCAAGATGAAAGAACTCGTATTAGAGAATTGGTCTATCGACGGAGCAACGGCGACTGCTGATTCGCTATTGGCTCACTGGTTCATCAGTTCCAATTTCTCTTTGCAATACTTTGTCAACGTACCATTGGTAATCGTTATCATTAACAGATGGCAGTGTGGATGTATTCATAATTAGATACTTGGATCAAGATGAAGAAATCGTGTTAGAGAATTGGTCCATCGACGGAGCAGCGGTGGCTGCTGATTCGCTATTGGCTCTTCATCATTGGTTCGTAGCGTGGAGCCGAATGTAACCGGTAACGCGATGATCCGACTCGCTTCGTTGCTCTAATCGTTGAAACGTGCATACGATTAAAGGTACGCGACTAGCAGACCCGTTCGAGTACAGTGTTCGACGATATTGATCCAGATACGTAAGAATGAATGGACGAATGATGGAACGAAGAAGTGGAAAAATGCAAGGACAGACGCGAGGACCTGCCGCAGCTGCGCGCTGTACCGGCTACCGAACTATTGCCGGTGTACGGCGCGAGCCTACATAGAATCGGTACGAAGCCGGTGTATAACTGTACCCGAGCAGAGTCACGTGACAAATGAGGCAGGCAGAAGAGCGCACGTGTATCCTCGATAGGCCGATCCTTCGACGGGGCGACCGTGATCGATTCCCGAGAGCCGGACTTCGTCGATACCGATCGCTCGTCGCGAATTTACCAGATAATAACTTCCCAGTCGTCGGATTCATAGATAAATCGATTTCACTTGGCACCGTTGGACAAGTTTTACACTTTACGGACGGTGATTCCATGAAATATACGAAAGCTTCGGCAGATAAAGCTGAATTATCTGTCAATTGTTTGATTAATATAGAAAAGGAAACTATATGATGATCTCTTGCTGTTCGAGTAATTAAATCATTGCGACTTATTCCAAATACGAAACGGACATTCTAGTAGCTTTCTTCATTTTCAATGTTACTTGGAAATTGTGTATTAATTAAAAGAGGAAATAGTAGTATATACTTGTACACAAAAGTAACGTTTGTTGAGGACGCAATGAACAGGGCAGGTGCTCGCAGATTGATAATGAAATAATATTGATTAGTAATTGTCTAATAAATTAATTAATATTGATTAGTAATTATCCAATTCAAATTAAATCGTTCGATTGCAACTTAGTGTCACAAACATGGAAGTCTAATCTCAACAAACGGTTCAAACGAAACGGACATTCCAATTCATTGCAAAAATCATCGTGACGCCGCTAGTACAACCGGTCAGTTTTGTTTTGATTCGCGTCGTGTCGAGTGTCGCGCGTATTTCGCGCGGCAATCAAAACACGAACGGCTGACTAAGCCTATCGCGAATCGCGTAGCGTAATTTTCGTTTCATGTTACTCAACGGTGTCATCAAACGCGTGATTAATGTCGCAATGCGGCGAGCAGCGAACCGTATCGGATGGAGAGAGGACTCGATCGAATTCGCCGGAAGAAGAGATCGAGAAAAGGATGAAAATCTTCCGGAAACCTTGCTACCTCGTCGAGCGCCCCCTTTCGATCGTCGCGCGAGCTTGCGTTCCGATAGATCGGCGCCGGTGCAACCGTGCCGCGATATCAGGACAGCAGCGCGAGCAGGAGACGGCCGATTGCGCCGTTTTCACCGTTCGCGAAGTTCGCATCGCTGCCACTGATGCTGCAACCGATACATTGCCGCGGTCTGTAATTGCACCGCAAACCAATGGCGGCTCGTAGCTAAAATCAGTGGGGGTGCTGCTCCAGAAAATGTTTAGTCTTCGTTTGAAAATGTTCGTATCCTTTTCATAAACTGGGGGATGGCTACTGACATGAACACTAGGAAGGTACAGATAGTTTAAGAAACGATTGAAGAAGCTGATTTAGCAATACCTAAACTAAAATCTTAATAAACTCACGCTTGTAGATTTCATAAAGAAATGTTCAAAGGACGGTTCAAGTACTCGGTAGTTCTAGTGTTAAGTTTAACACGTTCACTATCAGTTTTAGTGGCGTTCCTCTCAATTCTAATATTTTATTCAAATCAATCTTCTGAAACTGTTGAAACAGATGAAGTTAAAGCGAGTCACTGAATTCCTAAATGTAATTTCGTAGCTTACAACTTTAACTAACTATATCTACAGGATTAATTTCATTTTCTTTATAGAAAGTATAGGATTGCGGTCGTCACGCAAAGGCGACAGTGGTAGCGACCGAGTTAAGGATTATATACAAGTATAAAGAAAGAATTAGAGGAAAATTGACTCATTATATTAAATGTTATCGATAATATCAAGTGGAAATTTGCTTCTGCAGTTCCACAATGCCTATACGCGAGCCGCCACTGCAAACATTATTCATAGTTTCTCTCTTTCCCCTGCATTCTCTTTTCCCCTCTACTCGTCGACGACCGAACGGAAAGGCGATTTTGCGATCGTCGTGCACCGACGACAGGCTGCTGCGAGTGAGATCGATAATATTTACGAATTCACGACACCGATGAGATCGTGGATAACGAACCATAAACGGCGCACACCGCGATACTTTTACCGCGTGAAACGGCAACGATTCGCTTCGCGCGAGCGTTTCTTTCCCGTCACGAAATCGTGAGGCGCCTACTTGGAAAATCGATGGACGCGTATTTCTCATCGATAGAGGGAATCCGTAAATACGAAACGGTCGACGACCCATGCAGCGATACGCGACACGCAACTCGAGTCACGCCATGTCTCAAATTCGACCGAAGATCGCTGGCTCATGGATCGTTTTCGAATCACGAGCGCGGTACGAGTCGCCATTGCTACGGCGGAGCAGCCGGTAAAAACGACTCCTGTCGCGCCTTCTGTGCCGAGACATCGTGACGACAAGAAACGAGAGGAAGACGGAAAGAAAGGGAAGAAGAAGATTCGGTATCAACGTTGCGAGTCGCTTTCGTGGACAATTCCATTGGCGCGATTCGGAACGGAACGGAACGCAAGTTAAAATTTCGCTCGGTCTCGGTTCTCTTTTCAAAGTTCGCTCGTTGACCGTACGCGAGACGGTAACACCACAAAAACGAGGCACGCGGCGACTTTCGTCTCAGTTTCGTCTCGTTCTCGTTCTCTCGACCGCAGAAAAATGTCCGCGAAACACGCTTCCACCCTGAAACGTCGTTCTATACTTATACCGAGCCCGATAAAAGCGAAACGAATAGGATCGAAAACCGCATGTAACAGAGGCGACCAGCGGTTGCCGGTACACCGGCTTTTCGTTCCACGTGCTTTCACGAAAATCCTCCTAGACCAGTTTCTACCTTTTCATGTTAGATCTCGAAGGAATATTTCAATTATCGTCGATTTCCTTCCTCGATCGATCCTCCTCGATTTCGTTCGGTTGAACGTCGGAGAACGAAGTTTATACCGGCTCGTGGAATGACTTTCATTGATCCGAATACCAGCTGGTCGGGATGATCTTTAACGGCGTAAGTTTCGCGGCGTCTGAACGAGGGCTCCGGGGAATACACCGAGCAAGAGTTTTCGCTAGGTTTCTATTGGCCGTCGTTTCGCAACCGTAACGCCTGCAACTCGAATTTTGATCGGTACTTCATATTCGCTGTACGTCGCCGTGCAATGTACGAGACGCGTATTTGCTCGCGTGTGTGGTTGCATATGCGGTTTCCAACTTTTACGCTACTAGATTAAAATTCTTCCCCAAAAAAAACCCTTCTGCGTCTCTCTATCTTTTAACCCTTCGCGGACGAATGTCGAGATTTCGAGATGAAATTTTCATATTTGAAAGACTGAGTCGTAAACAAATGATTTAATTACTCGAGTCGCAAGAAATCGGCACATAGTTTCCTACGTTTCTATTGTTCATGTAATTGATGTATAATTTAGCTGCATCTGTCGAGGGTTTTGTATATTCCATTAGTAATGACTCTATTACAAAATGTACATTACTGAATTTGTACTGTTACGTTATGATATGAAGTTTAATTGTTTGTAGATATTACGAACGTTTTTTATGAAAAATTCTGGCGCCTCCTGTTGAGGGTTTTGTATATTCCATTAGTAGTGACTCTATTACAAAATATACATTACTGAATTCGTACTGTTACGTTATGATATGAAGTTTGATTGTTCGTAGATATTATGAATGTTTTTTATTAAAAATTTTGGCCCCTCGCAGATTGGAAACCGCGGGTCTAACGTGTCCCTCGGACAGCGACAGTGCGTAGGAAGGTGAACCGGAGCCACGCACTCTGGTCACTAGACCGCCACCGGCGCGAGAGTCATGTGGAAAGAAAGAAAGATAGGAAGAGAGGAAAAAGGAAGGAGACAAACAGAGGAAGAGACAAAGAGAGAAGGAGAAAGAGGAAAAAAAAAGGGAGAAGAGGAAGTAAACGCGCACGACCGTAAGTACTTGCCAAGCCTCGATGCGCTTATTACGCGATGCGGGTGTGTATGCGTCATCGCGCGACGGCACGAACACACACGTGCATCCGCAGAATGCCCGCTCGGCTCGAAATAGTCTTTTCACTGGAAACAACCGAAATCTAATTTAGCCGCGGCCTGGCTCGAGACTGGAACGACTTTTCATTTCGTTTGAAATGCGAGGGAGATCGTCGACCGCGGGCTTCGGGCGGTCGCTCAGTTTTTACGTAATAATTGCGATAACGAGAGTACGGTCGACTACCGAGCCAGACTTCGGGGAACGAGTTACATCGTTCCGCGGAAAGCACGCGACGGTGACAATTTGCTGGTAACGCGCATGTGAATATGACAACAATCGATTTGCCCGAGGCGAAAAGTCACCGGAAGAGTACCAAAGAAAAAGGGACACAGGAAACGAACGGGAAAACAGAGAGAAGAAGGAAAAGAGTTGAACGCTTCGAAAGTTTCGAACTACGTGTGGTTGTAAATCTGACTAACGCTAGAACTACCGAATACTTAACTATCTTTTCAAAATTCCTTTGTAAAAGCTATAAGCGTGAATTTATTAAGATTTCAATTGGTCTATATTTCAGTTTGGGTATTACTAAATCAGTTTTTTTAATGATTTCTTACAGAACTGTAGCTTTGCAATCATTTTAAAGGAAGAAATTAGGAATTGATCTTTTTAACCCACCTAGTAGTTTTAGTGTTAACCACATTATGTGTTAACCCTTTGAACTCTGTAGGCTCCAATATTGCACCAGTTATAATATTAAATATTTTAATGAATCTTAAAGGAATTACGCCAAGATTATTCGATTTTCCACACATCCAAATTTTGTGTTAACAAGGAAAATGAAAGATCGAAGAAATGTTATAGCATTTCTAATTTTCGCTGGGAATATTATAAAAATTCGTTGCTGATAGATTACAAAACAACCTGGAGTGCTAATACACATAAATATTACTCGATTTGAATTCAAATGATTTATTATTCTCCTGGTATCAATTATTATATTACGTGGCAAATATATGCATAGAATATGCCTGGAATTTCGCACCTTTTTTCAGTAAATTATTAACAAGCTGTCGTACCAACTATACTTGAGAACTATATCATAAGGCAAGGGGTTAACTAACTCGATACGATATGTCTGCCAGTTACGAGTGCCGTTTAGCAAAATCGCGTTCCCGTCGACTCGGGAACACCAGTAACGAAAGTTCATCGGGTCCAAACGGTAAAGCTCGTCGAAAACTTGCGTGCAATCGGTTCCAATCGATTTCGAACCGACACGGTGGTTCCAGACACGATTCGATTATCGTCGGAATATTCTGCCGACCATCGCCTGGATAAGTACAACTAAGCGTGCGGCGCACAGTCCAAATTTTCTTGATAAGTTCTGCGAACGACTTTCAAAAGAAAAGATAAAAATATTTTTTTGCGGGCAACGGTAAACTTGCCGTACTTCGTTCGCCCTTGCTGATAAGAAAAATCGTTAAAACGTACACGGCAATTGATGTGTGTGTGTGTGTGTGTGTGTGTTAGGTGTGTTAAGTATACCTACTACCTACCAGACTGTCGAGCTAGAGTTGAATAAAGGCAACAGCTCAGCTTAGGAAATAATCGATAAGAAGAAACGTGCCGGCATATATGTAAATACGTAGGCACTCGTACCCGCTAGAATGCTAGAAAGTTTTTCTAACGAAAACGGTAACTCTGCGTACGTTTCAAAATAATCAACTGTACGTGGGAACTTATGGATTTACAGTTTCACGGATTTCCGTGGCTGTCGCTTACTCAGCAAGTTCTCGATGTATTTGAATCCAGCGATAGAACGGTTCTGAAGATTCGCTCGTTTCTTGTATTAATCTTACAAACAGATGCCTTGTATGAATGATACTTGGCGCGCTTACGAAAATTCAACGGAGAACAGAACCGTGATTATTACAGCCTATACCGTTAAGGGGTCTACATCGGACAGTACCGTTGACCCGAAGCCTCGTGGTGTTCCCGTACTACCACTGACCCAAAAACAACGCTCATTGTTCACGAGCCAAGGTAATTACACGTTCTACTCTACGATATATTTCTGTTCGAACGCAAACGCGAAGGTGTACTGCTAACAGCGTACCCTGCCAAGCGACTGAAACGTTACGAACCGGTAGCAGATCTCTTCTAACACAGATTCACGGAAGCAGCGAGTTTTCATTGTTTCAAATTCGTAAGAAATAACCGGAGAGGAGGAAGAACTCGCAGCGTGGAACGTTCTCACGTCGGAGACGCGCGTAGATAGACGGAACGTCTTCCGACTTCTCTGTCGCGTCAGGAGATCTTGCTCCATGACGCTGGATGTGGATTGCGCAACAGGTTACACGGTTCATCGACGGTGGAACAATCTCCGAGCGATCGAGATCATCGACCCTCGCGGACTCGATCGAATCCCGCGCGCAACGTATCCGCGTCCTCTGTTACCGCACTTCTTCTTAAGGATCGTCAATGAAACGTGCCCCGAAACTTTGCATTCGTTCGCCAAGTTTCTCGATGGCGTTCTCGCGCAAGCGTGCGTTTCGACGATCGCGCGTGACCGGTATACTCTCGATAACAGATTTCTCCATTGACGGAGGGAGAAGATCGCCGTTCATCGAACAACTTTCCCAGTACCGGCGACAATCGGTTTACGAATCCATCGATTAGCGACACTGCGGTTACCGGCGTGATGGAAGATCGTTAATCAGCGTACACGAGGAACATAATGATTCCAATTCGATCATTAGACACGCGTGACGCGCTGCACGGAACGATTCAGCCCGTGGCAGAATTATGTATAGCGCGTGTATCGGGCAACCTACTACCAGCAACCGAAGTTGTCGCAACTCTCCTCGTCAATTATTCTCGACGCGCTTGCTTCTGAGTCTCGGCTACCATACCTTCGCCCCTAGCTACCGAATGTTTATTAATATAAAATAATAACAATGAACCGAAGCGACACCGCAATGCAGTGCTCCTTCGTCCGTCGTTAGCTCCTTCAGCGGTGACTACGCAACGAAGGGAACCGAGACGGACGGTTCCAGTACGTCCATTGAGCGAACTCCGTAGACGCGAGCAGTCGAAACATTTGAACGTTTCTTTCGCGCGGAAACAAAGGGGGAGAAACTGAAAAATTCACTGGACATAATTTCCTAACACCTTGCCCATAAACTGTATCGGCGGTTTGCGCAAGAGGCGTTCAAGGCGCAAACAGTGTCAAGCTTGGACGAGCAACCGGCAACGGGCAACTCGTTAAGCCGATCCTCGTTTCCGGCGAGTGTGGAAACAGGACCGAACAAGAGAAGACCAAAGCACGGCTCGAGAACACCGTGTAATTGGTTTCACCAATTACGTCTGGGAAGTCGTTAACGAAACGGCACGATACATCGGTAAAAGTTCGTCGAGACTATGAAGCCACTGCCCTTGGACCGGCAACGAACGGCGAAAGTATACGTTCTCGCGTTAATCGAAGTAGCTTAGAGTTAGACATCGAATTCGAACGTGCTGTTCGAGCTAATGAAATAAACGAGAAAGAAAACTCACCGCCTGGATGCGATACGCTGCGGACTAGTCACCGTGCTGGAAGGTGGACTGGTGGAAGCATCGCCGAAGGAGCTGGAACACGTTGTCGTACCGGACGCGGTGGTATCGCTGCCGGTAGTCGTCGACAGAACGCTACCCTGCCTGGAGGACAACTCGCGACTCCTGCTGGTCTGCGATCGACTTCCTCTGAACTGTCGACCACCTCGACGCGACGGCACCGCGCTCAGGCTGTTTACGTTCCTGACGGGAGCACTGGACGGCCTGAGAAGGGTACCGGAAGTACCATTGGTCTGTGCTGCCAGGATCTCCGGTGCGATCAACGCTATGTCCGGCAGAGAATTTGGCGCTGACGGGGTGGCGGCCGCGGCTGCGGTCACCGTAGCGGTCGTAACGCCGATAGGAGACGAATTCGCTATTCCCCGGCGACCGTTCGAATCGGCAATGCCGCGTTGTCGCTCGATCCCGTCCGGTAGTCTCAAATGTCGCAGACGTCTCATAGAAGCTCTGAGCCAGGAATTGACCAGCGTGGCGGGGTTGCTGTCGCGGCCTGTTGTCTCCCGACCAACGGTTTCGTTGCTCGCGCTACGCCGAGTTGACGCTTCATCGCGATCGATCTCCTCCTCGGTAAGACCGGAGGACAGCTGGTCAGAGGTGGTCGACCATCGCGAACTACCGACCACCGGGGACTTTGCCGTCCCGGAGACGGACATCGCGGCACTGCAGCCCGCATCGGTAGCACGGTGCTCGCAGCCGCGCTTGCGCCTTGCATTTTCCCTGGTGGGGGATGCACTCCCTCCTCGGTGTTGCTCGGTGCTCTCTTGAACCGCGTCAACCGCAACCGGTGCCAACGACGGATCCGTGGATCGCGTGCACTCCACTTCCTCCAGCCAAGACCAGTCTACCTCCGAACATTCGGAGCAGCCATCCTCTGGATTCGTCTCCAGCTCTTCGTCCCTCGAGAAACTGTAAACGATCATCCATTCATTTTATGTTCCACGCTCGCCTCGCGAGTCCTATTCGATCGCGATACGAATATACTTCTACCGGTCCGTTCAGCGAACCACCTGAAGCGGAACGTGAACGAACGAACGACGCGACCAAACTTCTACGAGGAAATCCTTTCCTTTGTTCTCATTGTCGAGCGTAGCTGGCACGTGCCGCTTTGAAAATCCTCTAGGCCACCCGATCGTGCTCGTACTCACTTTCCGCGTGCTATCCTCCTGCCCCACCACTTTCGATTTACCGCTCCCATCGAGCGCAATCAAGTATGCTCGCAACTATTGCAGATTGCGAGATCGCGCGCACTCGAAACTTTCTTCAACGTCCCGTTCGCGGAAACCTATGTCTGAACGACATTTCGCCCCTCTCCTTCCGTTCCCGCTTGAAAAACTATCATGGGATGCGAGAGATTTCGTTTTACGCGAGTTATCACAGCGACTCTCTATCGTTCTTTCGCTTCAACTGAGAATTTCGAAAACCGCGAAACTCTGCTACCGATTTCACCGACAGACGAAAGATTACGTATCACGGTTACTTGTGATGGTAGCTAAAATTAAAGTTTCACCAAATACAATGGTCGTATATATTCGTCGCGATCCCTGATCTCCGAGCTTTGATCTTCGACGCGATAAATCTCACCTAATCGGAAACGATAAAAGACAGCTAAGCCTGTTCTTTGACCGCATCATGATCCGCGTTTACCAGGAAACGCCAATAACGGACAGTAAAGTACGGAACCACAGAAAAAGGTTCGTCACAGTGAGCGCGTCCAACTACGTTTACGTCGAACAACGGTTATAGAAACACGCAACGCGATGAACAACGGGCAACTCTCACCTCGTTGCGAATGTTTCGCGACATCGCTATAAGTACGTATATTACTGGAAAACATTGAAGCTCGATCGAACGACTTCAATGGTTTTATAACGTAAGTACTTATACTTGGCAATGTCGATATCGAAACGAACGGAATACGACGACACGTTCGTACCTGGAAATAAAGCTGGATCGCCTGTGAGTAGCGTTGGAAGTCGACGGTTCGCTACCGTACTCTCCCAAACTGGTTGACCTATCGAATCGCGGAAACGAGTCCTTAGATCCGATCTTAAGGCTAGTTCCTTCGGTCCAGGATTTACGATGCGCTCGTTGGAACGATACTCTTCCGACCGTTAGTCCGAACGTTCCATCCTCGCAACGTCTCTTAACAGCGACGACATTATCACCTGTCTCCAGATCGAACTCCCGATCGATGGAGCCGTCGCGTCTGATCTTCCTCGACGTGTCGTCGCGCAGCGCGCCGAAATTCGTGGACAACTCGAACGCCGAATTATTCGAGTCGACCGTGTGGAAATATTTCTCCGTGGCTTTCCTATTTAATGTCATCGGTGAACCGCGATGGCGACTCAACAGATCTTCGTTCTCGGAACGCGTGGAGAGCACCGACGCGTGGGAGTCGTCGAGCGGATCGCGACAATCGTACGCCGATTCCAGCTGTTCCTCGGCGTCCTCGTGCTCCGCGAGGAAGTCGAAAGCGTTGCTGATCTCCTGCGCCTCGAACGTCCCGTCCTCGCGCCTCTCCGAAGGGCCGTGACACCCGTCCTCGGGATTCGCCAACCCCCTTCCATGATCGACCGTGTCCCGATGATGCACCTCGTTCATCGCGGAACAGGTCCTCCTTATAACCGGCTCCAAATTCCTGGTGATGTCACGAACTCTTTTGATCGTGTCGGAGGAAACGACGTCGATCCTCTTGCGAATCGGCACGACCTGATCGTGACCCAAAGTGACCAGCACGTCGGTACCGTCGCTCACGCTTTGCACTTGTTCCTGCTTTCTGGTCAAGGAGAGGGTCTCCTCGAGTTTCGGCGGGCACACGTCCAGAAGATGTTCCTGTTCGTCGGGCAACGATTCCGCAACCGGCACCCGCGGCACGCACACCTCTTCATTCCCGAGATCTATCAAGTCACCGTCCTCGGTCGACGTCATTTTCCACCGGGCAACTTCTGAAACGAAAACATTCCTATTCAGTATCGGGGTGGGCATTAACGCAGCGGTGATTCTTCTTCGATCATTCTTCGGATACGACTTTCAAGCTCGAGACCCATCGTGAATCATTCGAAAATAAAGTAATACCGTTGTTCCTATCGAACGAGCCTGATAGACCTGTCCTCTTTCTCTTTGTCCCGGGGACTTAGCGGTGGGAAACCTTTTGCTAACGACCGATCACAACTTATCCGACATTCGCTCGACTCGGCCCCACTAGGCTTGACTCATTTTCGTGTTCCTCCTGTTCGTGTTCGCGTTCGTGTTCGTGTCCCGATGTTCGCCGAAATGCCTACAAAGAAATTCTACGACCACGTAGTTGTTCACTGGAATCGCGCGAATCTGTTAGAAAGGACTCACCGTTCGCAAACCATCGAAGAATGTTACGAAAAGTCCATCCAGGTGTCATGCTCCAATTAATTGCCGACTCGGAACGGTACCGCGACTGCGTTAAACTTTACCGTTTGAACAAGTGCGCTCGAATGCTGGACGCTCCGAGAATATTAGCCATAGTTCCGCCGACGAACTTGTACCTAGGTACTATTATTAGACGTTATTAACGACACGACGCTAAAAGACGATTCGCGGGCTTCGATTGTTTAAAAGAAGTCTATCCGACAGATTTATCGTTCGACTCCAGGTCTGACGATAATTAAGAAAGAAAATTTTTAAATATTACTAACGACGCTAAATAATACTATCCATAGGTATGCTTTATCGTACGTGGGAGAGGAGCATTATTTCGCCGCGATGTCGCTTCCTGCGCGAACCAAGAAAACAATTAACAGTGCAACCGGTATTTTCCGTACCGTTGAGGAGAAAATCGCCAATCAATGAGAACGCGTATAACGTATACACATTTTTTTACTCGTTGCTGCGACGATCAATTGCACTGAAACTCATTGTACCTTTCGAATCCTCGTATCGACGAAATCGTTCGATATTTCGAACCAATCTGGCTGAAACATTTTGAAATATAGACAAACAGAGATAACTGAAAAACACGGCAAACCTATCAGCAAACTAGCGGCTGATACGACATTTTGCTTTCTTGAGTTATTCGTTGGCTGATATGTTTTCTGTATCACTGATGCACAACTGTTATTGTTTTTGTCGATTTCATTGATACTACTGCCACTGTTATTATTATTGTTATTAACACGTTAACTGCCATATCAGTGATCGATGACTGCCACTTCTGAATGACTTGAAAACAATCGTGACATGCAAGATAATCAATGTCGAATCAAAATGTTTAATAACGCAACTGAGTTGATAATAGTGTAATGCGAAGATTGTAACGTCAAAGACTGAATAATTATTGCCACTTTTCTTTGCCAAAAAGGATAACTGTACTGAAAAATCGTCAAGATTTTCATGACACTAATACATCAAAATTATAAAGTCTTACGCACAATATTAAGCTTCGTATAATCCATAAATATGTGGAATATTGAAATAATTACTTTGGTTCTCAACTTGTGCATGTTCTCCCATTAAGTTCGTTTCACAGAACGTCGTCCATAACTCATTGAAAAATATTAAATATTTCTAATGAAAGATTTCCGAGTGCAAATATTATTATTATTATTATGCGCGAGTGTGTACACGAGAGAAAAATGGTGACATCAACGCGCAACGAGCGCGCAGAAGGGCAACGGGGGAACGGAGATTTTTCAGTGATCCATCGGAGATCGTACAAACTGAAGAGTATACGGGAATCGAGAGACTGTCACGGTCGATACGTCAGGACGACTCAGTTCGTTGCCAGCACGCATGTTCAGGTAACAAACAGGTAACAGGTAACAGGTAACAGGTAACCGGTAACCAGTAACCAGTAACCAGTAACCGGACCTTCTCAGCTGGCAACGGCTCTACATAGCTCGTTCGTGAATCACGAACCAGGACAACGCCTCGAGAATATTCGTTCGGGGTTTCGAACTGATCTACAGCCTAAAAGAACAACGCGGCCCAGCAGGAAATTCCATCCGCGTTCCTGAATCCGAACTTTCGTTCCGATTTAAAACGATCTCGAACAACCGCGTTACCGTCTCTAGCGATCGACGTTCGTAAAGAAAATCACTGTTTATACGGCTACACTTGAAAAATACCGTAGCAGAATGTTGCACGGTATTTCCCTATGCATTCCGAAGGCTTCCCGTTGCAACTTTTCTTCGCGACATCGAGTGCACAAGATCGCGCGAAGTAACGGTAACGAGCTCTGTTCTGTAAACTCGTCGAAACGGACTTTTTCACGGATTCCTTCGGAATTTCCGGCAAATTCGGGAACGACGCATGCACGCACCAATGGGATTCGCGTTAACTCGTTCCCCCGCGACACTAGGCATCCAAGAAATTGCAATAAATTCTCTCTCTACGCCCTTGACTTCGTTTCCTTTCGTATTTGAAAAACACTATGCGCAATGGCCATCGATACGCATTCGAAAGCGAACTGCAGCCACATATTTTCACCAGAGATTATTATTCTTAATCTGTCTTTTATCTCGAACCGTTTCCTCTTGGTCAGTCCTATTCTGGGATGAAGAGAACAGTTTCGTGCCTGTACGTACCCATCGTTGTCTCACGATTTTCGAGAAGATCGTCGAGGAAATCGGAAGTCTTACCAGTGAAGTCGATGAACGTTCAACGAGACGAATAGTCAAACGTGTGTACTCATTTTCTCCGTAGAATTTCATCGGACGCACGGGAACACGGGAATACCGGTGGCACAGGTCTAATTAACAGATTCGAAGTTTTGTCGTTGCATTCGCGATCGTTCGATTGGTAGACGAGAAACACAAAGAAAAATCTAGTTCTGTTAGATTTTACACTTCCATTGTTCCATTATACGAATGAAATGCATTCGTATTTAAGACGATCGAAAGATTCGACCCGATCGACGTTCCACGGGATGCAACGGCTCTCTCTGTTTTTCCCTCTCTCCGCCCTCCCACCCTCATTCTCTCACACACTCTCTCTCTGAACACAGAAAAACACGTACTCGCTGGTTCTCTCGCTCTCTCTAAAATTCGTGAACCGATCGAGACCGAGCATAACGCCATCTAAAAATATTGCGAGCTTACTTACTCGGTTAGAAGCGCGCGTATCAAAAGAGACGAAAATTTCACGCCGCTCGGTTTCGTATAGGCCCCTTTTACTCGTTGCGAATCGACAAATTCGAGGAACACGAATTCACATTTCTTCGCGATCGTTACCGTACAGCGGCGGGCGAAAATGATAAATCCCCTTTGAACTGGAACCTATGGAATTCCTTTCTTTCGAGAGATCATCATGATCCAACGGTTCTCGAATCAACTTTTATCGAGAACCCCGGAATGAATCGATAACGATTGCTCGGCCCGACGCATGGTATCGGGACTGTCTACCAAAAAATTACCGCCGTACTTTTGTAAACTGATTCGAATTCCACTTCGAATCCGATTGCTCTGTTATTTTTGGCACTGGTCAATGCGGTCTCGCTCGAAACATCAGGCAGGGCACTCGGACACTCGCGAATAACTTCGATGGCACTATCGTGGCAGCAAATCAACCACTCGTCTTTCCATTTACGTGATTTTAAAGGGCACTCGTTTGTCTTTCTCTGGGTTTATTCTACGCTTTCGCATCTTTATCCGAGAACTCGAACGAAGCGTTCGTTACAATACGCCACGTAGATAATACGAAACAAGTAGATATACTTCACGGTATCCGAGTAAGGCACGCACTGTAAAAGAACGAACGTCGGCAAGGAGAGTCCGATGCGTGCATTCACCAATTCACTGCTGATCTTTGGTGTACGTTGGTATCTGTTGTGTATATATGCGTGCGTGCTTGTACGTGTGTGTGTGTGTATATATGT